CGTCTCCGACACCTGACAATTTGCAGAGCATATATTTTCAATAAAAAGCGTGACCTCCACAAAAATTTAAAAAACAAATCAGAGGTTAAACCCTTAATGTCCATGGGACATTCCATGCGAACTCGGCCAGCCCGCATGCCCTCGAACCCTCAGATTTCGATCACGATTTTTTATGAGGCTTAGGTAACTGAAAAAAGTACTCTGAATTTTGTTGAATTTTTCCTATGATTAGTTTTTTTATGTTCAAGCTTGTTAGATCATGGAGATCGAAATAAATAAACACTTCGAGTATTTTCAAGGCTGAGAATTATTATTAGAAATTAATAATTAATAATCAAGGGGTACTTTACTGAACGACGACTTACAACAAACTAATTAAACATTACTAGTCAGGCCCACGTTAAACTCTTCTCCAGAGGGCAGAACAATTTCTCTTTTCCTCCTTAACCCTTCGACTTTTCTTTCTTGATTCTCTCTGTTCACCAGATGTATATTGGGAAAAACCCACAACGAGAAAGTTTCTCCTGGACTTTTCCTTTTTTTTATTACAGCATGAAGGAAAAGTCCCACAACAACAAAAAATAAAAATTTTCTAAATCCGGAAATGTAAAAACTCTGGAAGACTGAATTTTGAACCCGGGGAAAAATTCCGGAATCCAACAAAGCCGGAAGCTGTATTGGAATCCAATAGGAATTTTAGTTTGTCATAATTTTGTGATGGTTTGAATCAATTTCGAGCTGAAACGGCTGCAGATATGGAAAAAAATCTTAAACAAAAAATATTTTTTGAAAAAAAATATATAAATTTGGTGCTATATATTTTTTTGTTATTCCCCTTATTTACAGAGATATTTCATGATCCATGCAGGGTGAAGTTATGGAAATGGTCATTTTGACGTAATAGTGAAGGACTGTTCGCATCTATGTAGGTGAAATAGAGCTAGCTATTTCAAAGTAGTCAACAGTGTTTCACTATTACCTCAAAATGATCACCTCCTCAACTTTACTCTGCATAAATCTTTGAATATATCTGTAAATAATGAGAATAACAAAAAAAAATATATGGAACCAAATGTTACGTCAGGAAACGTCTCGCATATTCTCATAAAAATTAACGACTTAATTAATTAGAAAATTAAAGTGATTTCATTTTTAAACATTTGACAAGTGATAAACATTTGATGAGTGTTGAAAATCATCGATGAACAAACTGCAAAAATTCACGGAAGTTGGATTACATCAAGAGAAACTGCGGTAAACTTGAATAAGTTGAGTTTTTTTTATTATTGAATCTTTTTCCTCTATATACAAAAATGTAAATAAAAAAAAAGAGATTTTTAGTACATTACATCAATTAAAGCGATCAGAGAGCAAAACTGAAAAACTATGATCGAAATTCAATTCGTGTAAAAATAACACAAAATTTATTTAATTGGGTAAATTTTACTTTAATAATTGAATAAAATTTGAATTGTGAATTAAATTTTCTTCATTCCCATATTATTTATCCCAAGCTACTTTTGAAAGGTAGGCTTGAAACAGAAGGAATTAATGCTCATAGTTTTATTGTGCATTATTTATTTGATAATTATTATCGGATATTTAATGGAAAACGTGACGTAACACAAATTTATATATTTTTTTTAAGAAAAATATTTTTTGTTTGTCATTTGTTTCTATATCTACAACCATTTAGCTCGAAATTCATTTGTACCATAACACATTTATGACAGGCTATAATTCCCATTGAATTCGGATATGCTCTGAGAGTATATGATCAAAATTCTGAAAAAATTGAATTCCTCCAACAATATGAAAGTTACCCCAGTAAATGAGCTTCCCATAAATAATCCCATATTGTAATAAATTTAAAAAAAATACTTCTTTTTTTTGCAATTTTGATAATTTTCTGAAATTTTTAGGGCATGCTGTTTTTTTTCTATCTTTCAGCTTGAACAAGAAGATGTAATCATTGAAAAATTAAAATAATTGAGTGTTTTTTTCAGTTAACTGAACCTCATAAAAAATCATGCTCAAAATTTGAGTGGTCGAAGTCATGGGCTGGCCGAGTTGGCTTGGAATGCCCCATATATATTAACTTCATAATTAATGTTTTGTCGTCTAATTTGAACTATTCCAGTAATCTTTCACAAATATTGGAAAAATAGAAAACAGTAATCTGGAAACACCATATAAGTTCAATATCTGTTTTCAATTGGGTTCCAAAAATTTACATCTCACAAATCCACATACCCAAATACCGATATGCCTCTTTATTGTCATTCAATAAACGCCATTAAATATACGCAGGTATGTTTGCTTAGCGATCGTTAAACGCAAATAAAGAGGGAATTATTACACATTTCATCTCACATAATTTCTGAATGAAATATATTTCCCTCCCTCAATATTTCAAAGATACCGAAAGGCGAAAATACCGAGGGTTACGCGTCGCTTCCGGAAAAATTTATGATCCTATATGCGAAAAATACATGGGAACCTTCCCATAGCTTTTGTATAATTTCTTATTTTGGTATGAAGATTCATCACACTGAATTAAAGAATGGCCGTTTATATGTTTGATAATTACGCTTTCAGAATAACATATTGGTTTTTTTAAATTAAAGGAAGCTAGCTAGGCTTGTCAACTGTATTTATTCGATTTGCAGTGTTTGCTCTTTTCATTACATTTTCTCGGAACAATCCGAAACCAACTAAAATGAGTTCTGAAGATATATTGTCTTGTAATATATCGTACTGTTCCTGTTTCCCGTATATTCGTATTGTATTTGAGTGTCAACAGAAAACTCAGTAGCGCCCGATGTATTTTTCTTCGTGGCTACATACATCCTGTCCAAAAACTAGAACAATCGAACTTTTGACCCATCGAACTAGACGTAAACAGATCATTACGTCTGAGCACCCATGCCTCGCCTATAAATCTTCAAAATGAAGTTACAGTATCAATAACGTGGCGTGTAGTGAGTATAGTAGGAATCCCTGAAAAAATATCCTCGGAAAAAATATCCTCGGAAAAAATATGCCGGAAAGAATATCCCCGGAAAAAATATCCCCGGAAAAAATATCTCCGAAAAAATTATCCCCAAGAAAAATTCTAATATTTAATTTCTAATAATAAATATTTAAAAATCCTAATTTTAATAATTTACAAAAATGCATTTTAGAAAAAAATTTCATTATTTATTATGACATATAAAAGGGTTAAGGGTTCGATTCCCCATGAAATTAAAATCATCTTTTTTTTTCTCAAATTTTCATTTAATGTGTTATGTGGAGAATGGGAGGGGGCTTCGCCCCCCCCCCCCCACCGGGGCTTCTGGAGCCCCTGGACCCCACGGGGGCTCCGCCCCCCGACCCCACCAGGGGCTGCTTCAACCATCTGCGCGTATAGTATATAGTATCTTTCTTTATCAAAAGTACGGGCTGATTTCATTCGGGCATTGCAAGATATATTGATGCCTGCCCCGACATTTGCGGCACGAGCGAAGCTAGTGTTGCTGGTCAGGAGCAGGCCTCAATGCAGATAGAGAAAAAATAAAAAAAATAACAAACTATGTATGAAAATTAATTAATTAAATAATTAATTTAATAATTAAGCTTACACGAAGGGAACGATTCAATAAAAATTACGTGCCTGTTGCGTAATCTGTCAGTCAAAACAATGCTCAGTAAAAATTACGGAACAGTTACGGATTTTGTCACTGAACTTTCAGCAAAAAGGACGGAACGTTCAGTGAAAAAGTACGTAACTGCGATTTAGCCTTTGACATAACCCTTTGAAATATACAATTACAAACCCATTTTCATTTTCTTCTTTTCATTTTTTAGGTTTCGTACACAAGAATGTATCTGTCAGAACATTTTGGCAAGGTGTTAGTTTCTACAATTAATTGCGCTTTTGTCCATCGTTTTGAGTATCAGTGTATGAATAAGTTTTTACTCCTGCTGTTGTAGAGAGGATACGTGTCGCTTGACCAATGCAGGAAATTTAACTTTCTGCTTCAAAATCGCAGTAGGAAGTACGTACTTTTGACCGAGGTATACAGAAAAAATGGTTGTTCGCCCTCTCACCCGCAAATTTGGAAGAGATTGTCCTTTTATCACTACAGTGGATGGTATTGCAAATGAACGTAATTGAACTATTAGTTTCTTAGATGTGAAATTTTTTTACGTAAAATGATCATGTGAAATCTCTCAGAATTGTGTAGTTCAAATTCGTTCTTTTTTGGCTGAAAATTTTGGTCTCAATACATTCTGAGTAGGTACAACAGTTACCATTCTTAATAAATTTAAATTAATAGCAAAAACATATAGTAACAGCCATTCGGAAGCTCGCCATCAATTTATTGACGAAAAAGAAAATATCCCTATAGATTTCAATCACTTCCTATTTAAGGTTAATAAAGAAAGATAGAGCGAATGAAGAAAGGTAGTCAATCATATAAATATTTCTTAATACACTGACCAATTCATCAAATAACGATGTGCAAAATTTCAGATATAGCATAGAAATAGGGGAATAATATTAGAAATTCGTGTCCCTATTACTCATGTACGAAGTCAACTGGGGTATCAATAAACTAAGCTATCAATAAGTCTTTTTCTTCCATCTTGCCGGTTAGTCGACAAGGTAGAAAAAATGTAACAGTTATCAATCACTCATTTAGCTTTATGTATGAACAGTAATTTCGAAATTTTTTTTCGCTTCACCCTGCTTTCAGGGTATCTGAAATTTTCTACATAGTTGCTTAATAAATTCATCAATTTTTTTCAATTCATCATTGGAAAAATCCTCATAACATTGGCTGCATTTTGCTATACCCTCTACCTCGCCCCATTGTCGTTAACTTAAGTGAGAGTAAACCCGTGAATCAATCCGCCAGTGGATTAACCTAAGCCATTTTTTTATTATTGTGTGCGAAAAATTTAATACCTTTTTTTCCTCCGTACGCTACATATCATTTTGTTTAATGTTACAGTGGGTAGAAGAATCGTTCACTAACTTTGATAAAGGTATCAACTGGCGAAGTTACGTAGTCTGTGATGTTGCCTACAAAAACGTCAACAACTGGCTGTGGACACCGTTCGTCGATCGTGGCCCAGCCAATCGTATGTACATTGAGATTAAGTTCACCACGAGAGATTGTTCGTTGTTTCCTGGAAATGCTCTAAGTTGTAAGGAGACCTTTTCGTTATTATATTACGAATTCGATGCTGCGACAAAAGAACCACCGCCATGGGAGCCTGAAAGTTACAAATTGATTGGTAAGAATGAGAAATTTGTGGTGACCTAGAATTAATTTTCACCTGATTTATCTATTTATTTATTTCCCAGGTCGAATCGCCGCCGGTGAAGGTCGCTTCAACTCCAACACGGAAGTGATAATAAACACAGAAGTCAAGTCAATCCCCGTAACGAAAAAAGGAGTGTACTTTGCATTTAGAGATCAGGGAGCTTGCATATCGATATTAGCCATAAAGGTGTACTACATCAGTTGCCCTGAGATATCTGTTAACTTCGCCCACTTCCCAGCGACACCAACTGGCCGTGAAGTAACCCTAATCGAGCAAGCGAGTGGCACATGTGTTGAGAATGCTGTGAAAATTGATCAGCCAACATTTTTGTGCAAAGGTGACGGAAAGTGGTACCTTCCCTCCGGCGGTTGCCATTGCAAACCAGGTTATCAGGCTGATGTTGAAAAGCAACAATGCATCGAGTGTCCACTTGGAAAATACAAGCATGAAGCCGGTTCGGAATCTTGTGAGAAGTGTCCGGCGCACAGTACAGCCACGAGTTATGCACTGATTGAATGTCGGTGTGACGACGGCTACTACAGAGCCCCCAAGGATCCCAAGAGCATGCCCTGCACACGTATGTTTTCATTTTTTATTTTTCAAGGAATAATGCGAAGCGTAGATCTGGCAATCCACATTAAAAGCTATCTTATTAGCGGTACGGAATTAGACAGATATTTGGTGAAGTCTATTGTCAAGCTATTGTCAATTCAACCAGAACTATCTAAGTTAAAAATTCGTGGAGCTGCGGAGATTTCACGTCGAAAATTTGAAAAACAATCTTTTAAAGAAATTGAACTTGAAGTTAGGCAACGGATTTATTGGAGTTCTACTTGGAAGTTACTGAGATTGCAATTTAAACTAATCTTGGGTACCTTTTCAAAGTCAGAATAAAACCTTTTTTCAATCACACACGTAAAAACTGTCAAAAAGAGGTGTTATTTTTTTAAATTATATTTTGAAAGTTTCTAACTCCATGAATCATTCAGATTCGCAAAAATAGCTATAGCTATTCCGACAACGATTTTTTCGAAAAACAAATAAATTAGTTGGTTTTCAAAGATCAGAAAGCAGGTACAATGATTTTTTTTCAGACAACATAAAAATTGAATTGAAATCTCGAATACTTTGTAGAATCGCATGTATAAATTCTAAGTGATCTATATAAAGTAGTGCCCGGCAACCTGGGCTCATCGGGTCCACGCTGCTCGCGAGCATCGATAGTGAGAGCTGGGAGAGGGGCCTCATCCACTTAACGAACCTACCTGCTCCAATTCGATTTTCCTTCATCCTTGAGACTTGGTTCGGCCGAAACCAACAGAGGGCGACCATGCGATAGAGCGTGAATTGTCAACTTTCCGTCAATTTGAAATAAAATTAAATAAATCCGAAACTGATTACAAAGTCAGTACGTGGGATCTGCGCGATGCATAAATAAATATTTGGTTGTTATCTATCAGAGACTCAATCCCGTTTTTAAAATTAAGAATATTTTCCCCTTTATTGATTCGATAGGTCTCTTTTTTGCTACCGACAATTTAAATTTTAGATTATCATAAGTCATACCATATCGTCTTTTAAAGATGTTTTTCTTAAATTCTAAGACATAAGCACTTCCATGAATTGATCATTTTGACTACAAAAATTGTAACAAAATGTATACTTTCTCGATTCAGAACCACCGTCAGCACCACAGAATTTGACAGTTAACTTCGTAGATCAGTCTACTGTAATTCTATCATGGAATGCACCATATGTTCTTGGTGGAAGAACAGATACCACGTACAGAGTCGTGTGCGACGCCTGCAGTACAGGCGTTAAATATATTCCGAACACCGTAAGTATTGAATTCAATAACAGTGTAGTATTGAACATTTAAAGGATATAAGGGTTGATTATTCAGAGAGACTACTATCTGTTTTAAAAGTCATAAGTTATTGAGGCTGTTGTGTTGGTATATTTTTTCATGAAACATGACAAATGAGAAGAATTCTGCAATGACTCCTTATATCAAGGATTTGGAGCGACAGTAAAAAAGAAGAATCTGCATAAATTACGTTTTTTCATATTATTTGAAAAATAGAGAACGAAATTAAAAAAAAAACGAAAAGCAAGTATTGAATTCTCGAAATCAGGGAGTCATTAAGATGAGAAGTAACAAACCTGGCTCGAATGCCTGTGAATGAAGGATGATTTTAAAGGCAGAAGTACAATCAGTCATCCTGACCTGCATCTATCAGTTTCTTATGCATTGCCAGCAGAAGAAAGTTTCCCGAATTGCATCAAATAGTCATCCTCTCGACTGTTTTATTCGATGCCATATTTCATTTGGCTCTGCCGTTTTGTTTTACCCCATCCTTCCCTACAAAAAAATGTAATTAATTGTGTAGAAGTCAAATGAATATGGTTTAAGCAGTTGAATGATAACTCGTATTGGTTATTCTATGTATTTTTTTTCTGATTAAAGTAACAACTTTGATAGGCCAATAATTGGATTCACTACCAACTTTCAACGCGCAGAAAAAAGAAATTTCCATAAACCAAAACAGCCTTACCTTTTATGTCAAATTTCCAGTTTTATGATTAGTTATCTAATTTGTTCCAACGTAATGGAAATTCTCACCACCATTTTTAGTCACATTAACACAATTTTCTCGTCTCCTAACCAGGAAATTTTCAATGACACGAAAATTACGATAACTGGACTAAATGCTGTGACGACATATCGTTTTCAAGTTTTCGCTGGAAATGGAGTTTCTCCACTAACTAAGCACTACGAATATGTAGATATTACGGTGACTACTGAGGCTAGTGTACCGAGTCTCGTGAGCAATGTGAGAATTACCAATGTCAAAGCGACTGAATTGAGCATAAGTTGGGATGCACCAATCACTGAACTCACTGGAGATAGTGATTTAGTGGAGAAATATGAAGGTAATGTAATTTGTCATCGTAACATAACATCACTCTTATTTTTTGCCAAATCTTGTAATCTTATAAAGATAGCGGAATTTTGGGGCGGAAGTTTTGTATTTTGAAGAATAACATCAATAAAAAAGTCATGTTGAAAATGTTGCTGTTGCAAGAATTTAGAAATCGATCCATTAATCATAAATTGACATGTCCACTTTGTTTTTTTTTTACGCAGTGAGGGCATATCCGCGATTCGACGATGCTACAAATGCGACAGTACTCCAAACTCACGATTTATCAGCAACCTTCAAAGGTTTTAAACCTGGTACTGATTATGCGATTCAAGTGCGTGCTAAAACAACTCGTGGATGGGGAGAATATACTCCGGTCATTTACAAGAAGACTATTCATGCCATGGGACTAGGTAAGTTTCATATAAGAAGAACCATAGTAAAACTGGTACTTTGACACGAGGGATACGACAAATGACATCACGCTCTTCGGACGACAAGGCTGTACAGACACTAATTCAGATTTAACTTCCATTTTCTGGAAAACAGTCGTATAAATACTCCTTCGTTGTAAAATATACGCTTCAGATAACGTAGAATCACATAGGTGCAACTTTCGGAGGCAATTAATTGAATTTTCGAAGCCGATTTTGAAAAATGGCGAAATTAATTCAAAAAGGTCTTAAATCATCTAAGCCTGATATCAGAAATCAGTAATATGTTAAATGAAACTAATTCTAATTCGGTTGAAATCTTGCTTTATTAGAGATTATTGCTAGGTAGACACATCCACAAACTTCGAGCTTTGAAACTCATCTAACAAAAGAAACAAAGGTCGTAGAGACTTTGGCGACATAGTCCCACAAAGGTCTCCGATTTTACCGATTTTTAGACTGAAAACCAAATGTCTAAACGTTGGTTCACCCACTTCTCAGAATTCGAAATCAGAAAAATGTTCTCTTAAATAACAACATAAGCACACGGTGAAATATAAGACTCATTTTTCTAATAATAGAATGGGAACTGAAACATCAAAATTTTTGACGCATTTTTTCAGGGAAATGTAGTGAAATTCCGAAATTTGTACAAAAAGATCGTAAACTCACATAATTAGGCAATGACGAATGTGCACGTTTTAGACGATTTTGAGTCATGAGAGCTCAACTTTTTAAGACAATTTTCTTGAAATTTTTCAAGAGTATTTTTGAAAAACTTGAAACTTTGTGAAAAAACATTATATAAACATTTTGTCAGGGGATGATGGATATCGTCACGTCTTAATGGATTTCGAATCCCCTAAGCACAATTGTGGTTATCATTTCTTTCAATCTTATGGAAGAAAATGCTATTAAGAATTCCTGGCGAGTTTGTGCATAGTTCACATTGTGGATGTTTCGAACCATTTCAAATTTATTGAACATACTCTCGCATGACCATATTTTTTACTGTGCTAATAGAATTAGTATACTGTTACGCTGGGATGACTCAAAGTCGTATGAAATGTCAACATTCGTTATTCCCCAAGAAATTGATTTTACGAAACTTTTGCATAAATTCCAAGATTTTTCAGAATAAACTTTAACAAAATTCAAAAAAATGTTCTCCAAAAGAAGGTCCCAGATGAATCAAAATTATCTGAATCGGAAAAATATCGTATTTCCTCGGAAAGTGTTTATACAACCTTTTTCTGTCTAACCTATGTTCCTTATTCCATGTCTTTTAAATTTTTCAAGCATTAAATATATTTATATAACCCTTTCAATCACTTCCACGTTAAAATATGATATGATAAAATACTAATGCTTTACTTTTTGAGAGAAGACAATAGAAAATAAACAAAGGGATTGTGGGGGGATATGGTAATAATGTCACAAATTGAATATAAATGTAGCCTCTGTAATTTCATTTCGGAAGTCAGAAATGCATTACCGTTGGCATGTCACAGCTTCCTAATAGTTTTAGGAAAAGAAAAAAAAAGCGGTAAAATGGTCACCTTAAACTTTTTCTTCGATCATGAAAATTCTCCTAAGGCCCCTCGATTTAGAGAGATTCATGGAAACCTCATTCTTGAATTGAGTTCAACAGTAGAGTGGTGAATAGAAATAAGTCCATTTGAGTATCTCAGGATCTGAGAGAGATAGTGAATTTTCTCTGTAAAGCTCTTTCATAGACCAAACCAAAAGACAAGCTAGAAAAAATCGGACAACACAAATTTCGATATATCTCTTAAATTCAGAGGTACTCATCAAATACTGAGCCTTGAGCCGAATCCATATTATCCCTCTTTATCACTTCGCTACTGAGTTGGATCATTTCGTCTTACCAGTGGGCTAGTACTTTTCCCTGCGAATTATATATTTCTGTCCATAGATTTAACAGGATCGGAATGAATTTCAAAAATTGATCTCGGATTGACAAAAAAACCAGATGTACAATTTATGTCAAATCGTTTTTTGTATTTTGAGGTGATAAAAATTGAAAAAAAATATCAACGTTACCCTACCCTCGCTGAATGTTCATGGTGTCCAGACTACCCCATCTGCTCTTACTCAATTTTAAAGTGGATAGCATTGATGAATTTGGATTTTTCACTCTGATATTAACAATACTAATTAAAAAAGAGCATTATAGGGTTTGTCATATCCTCTAGTCATGTTACAAAACGGCAATATAATTTCTTATGAATAGTTAATATATTTCCCAGTAATCTCACATTCAACATGAAAGTGCAACTTAAAAATTCGACGTTTAACAAAATATATGAATGAAGAAATACAAAAGGAAAATAAGCATTATATGATGAAAGTAAAAAAATACGTCAGAATAATATCGTAATTCACATATAAACATCTATAAAAGCATACTCGGAGAGAAATTTTCAATGAAAACTACGTGCCTATTCCGTAATCTGCGAGTCAAAGCAGTATTTCACTTTCAGGAAAAAGTACAGAAACAGCCACGTAATTTTTATTGAATATTTCTCTCCGTGTATATTCTAATACCATTCGTTTTTTTACTGTTAACCAGATTATGTCGGAGACGATGATAATATGCAAGTACGAATTATTGCGGGTGCGATTGTTGCTGTCGTCGTCTTACTCGTGATAATTATCATCATGACCGTACTATTTCTTAGAAGGTAAGTAAAGAATCTATTTACAATGAACATCAACCTGATATTAAATTAAAAAATCGGTGAACATTACCGATTAGTTCCAATTCAACAAATTGTGTATTTTTATGAGTTTCAATAATTTTTTTTCTCGTGTAACAAATATGTTGTTTCGATGCACAGCAGGGCCTCGGACGAGTGCAACAAGAAACAGCCTAGTGACTGTGACACTTTGGAATATCGAAATGGTGAAGGTACGTTATCATTACAGCCCCAAGACCAATAATATAACAACTAAGATTGATACGATTTAATCCCTTAGATTTTTAAGGTCCTCCCCTCGATTTATACCACAAATTCTCCAATTTGCTCTAATAGTTACTTATTGCAATCATCAAGACATGTAATCTGATCTCTTCATTTAATTTTTTTAATCGATCCCTGATTTATTGAATACCCAAAGTTGCTCCCCCATTTACAATATAAGGATATTTCATACTTTACACGTGGAGAAATTATTGAAATAGATTTATCAGACTTCAATAATACAAAAAAATAATTGATAAAGAAAGAATAACAATGTTACAATGTCTTAGTCCACGTAATTAAGTTATCACTAAAAGCCTCACCTACCTTAATGTTGACAATGAAGTGTGATCATTTGTGTATTTGTTCCTCTATTTAATTATGATATTTTGTGAGGTAATCACTTAATTAATCGGAAAACTATATAATCTCAATCATCTTGCACTGATTTATGCATTAAAAATTCCCTATCCTAAAATTTTAGATATTTTCTGTTCAGTATAAAAATTTCAATCCAAATCCCGCAAGTATCACTTGAAGCCTGGTGAAATTATCACTTTTCAATAGTTTTTTCATCACACAAACACGATACGAGTAATTTTAATTATAATAAAAAAATGAGTAAAATTTAATGAAAAATCCTTATACTGCCCAACATTTGCAAATAATCCCTGTGTATTTGTAATTAAAAAGTTACGTATTCGTGCGAACCCATACCTCATTCCTCAATAAGAATTGAAAAAATTTTTATCTCAGAATGACATTTCTCTGAGATGGAATTTCCATCAATTTTTATAGTAGCATAAATAGAAAATTTTGGTCCGTTAAATGTGAAATAATTTTCTAACCAAATTCTTTCGATTCTTTCTTTTCATGTGCGATTCTTCCCTAATATCTCCAACCTGTGTCTAAAAACCACAAAAATACCTATAAAAAATCACAAAAAATAAAAATCGAATGTACACAATCGCCTACTACTTCAGGACTAGTTGTGACCTACAGTAAGTTTTTTTCCAAAGAAGAACACCTGAATATTTTTTTTTTTACTTTTGTTTGAAATTTTTTTCAATTTTTCTCTTTGGTTTTGAGTTTGATTAATCGTTCTCCACTTTCCATTACATATTTATGCTCTTCTCCATGGGTTAAATATCTCGGAATCTGAGGGCCGTTTGCATCAGTTTGAGTAAACCACAACCGTCAATTAACTGTCTGTTAACCCTCGAAATTGATATAAGACCAATTTCCTCCTAGAATTTCGCAGTTGATATGATGTGGTGCAACGAAAACGGTTTCTTCGAAACGTGAACCAATTATTACCTGAATCTTTTCTCAGCTCCCAGCGTGTGCTATGGAAAAGGTCTCTGCAAATTTTTTCCCAATCTCCCTTTGATTCCGAGATGATCACAAAATCCACAGTAATTCCTTTATACGAAGGCACGATAAGAAGAGAAGACGTAGATCTTTGAAATGCACGTTGAAATTGCCTGTTGTATGGAACGTTTTGTGTGTCGAAGGTGCATGAATGTTTCGTAGAAAATTTTTTAAAAATTAATGAAAATATTTTCTACTTGCTAATGATTTTTTTAAACTGCTTATTGATTTTCCGTAAATTTTTCGATATTTTTTTACTTTTTTTTTATTTGCTGAGTTTTTTTGTGAATCAGTTTGTTGGTTGTTGTGTTGTTCACAGTGCACTGCAAAATGGACAGTTCACCGATTGTGACAACCCATACCAACAACAAGAGCAAGTCCTCGCGTAAGTCCTCCAATTCCCAACGGAAAGAAGTCTAAGAATCAAATGACACTCAATAGTTTTCATTTTCATTACGAAAATTTGAGCTAAAAGGTTCTTTAAACACTTTCTCAGGGAATCACAGATCTACAAATTTCAGATAGGTCTGAATCATCGGGTATAACTTTTGGGGCGCATCTTTTCAAATCAGTTGCTGCAGAAGTCCATGATCTCGTGAAAAATGGTCTAGGGACTAGTATTAAATAATTCCCGCATTCGAAAACTGAAAAACCACTGCTAAAAAATATTACCCTGGCTGTTACGGTGAACTTTTCTATTCCTGTGAATTAGCCAATCACACAAGTGAATACATTGAAGCCATCTTGGCAGTATATTATTGCGGATCTAAAAATAAGGCCCCTTTTGGCTCAATTTGTGCAAATCAATAATCCAAAAATTCCTGTTATTGGGGAGCTTCTCCACTTTTCCACTGAGCTTCTAATAATATTTATTAATTGTAGTCTTTGACGTTATAAATATAATTGTTATTATTTGTTACTATCTTCGTTATGATTTTTGGATTTATACACATTTCATGAAATTGAAAATGAAACTTGCATGTTTGGCTTTTCTATTTGCATCCTTATTTGACGAGAAAAATTCATGTATCTGAGAATGAAAGATTTTATGTATGAGTGATCAAGCGATAATCTATGAATATCCAACGACTTTACTATTTTTTTCCTTAAATTCCCTATCTGCAGTTGTTGTTTACATCGGAGTTTCAATTTGAAGTTTTTCAATGATATTAGAATAATCATATCCCAATTTTTGGAATGTTTCTATTTGATTTTTCATTTTGATGAGTGAGGAAATATTTTTTTTTTCATAAAAAAAAGTGATTAGAACGAAAGAAAGTTCAGAAATAAAGGGTGAAATTACTATAGAAACGAACTACATCACCTGTAAAATACAGATACGAGCAATGTGAACAATACCTGTCAAAAGTACTTGGATATCCGCAGAAACATTTGAACGGTCATATATTGGGACGAAATAAACCTTTCATATTGCTATAAATAAGCCATATATTTTTTGATAATTCAAAGTAATATTACGTATATCTGGTGAATGAATGTCTAGAGAGGTATAATAACATAATTCATCTTTAACAATCATCAGCCCGAGTGTTAATATAATGATTCCGTGTTATTGACGTTACAGTGACAACGCCATTGTTCACGCCTGCAGTGGGAGTCACATCAGCAGGAGCTGGAGGTACTGGGGGTGCAGGTGCAAGAAGCTACGTAGATCCTCACACCTATGAAGATCCTAATCAAGCAGTACGTGAATTTGCGCGGGAGATTGATGCTGGGTACATCACAATAGAAGCAATCATTGGTGAGTTGATCGTTCATCAGACACTAGTAAATATTTTCACCGAGACTTTTTTTTCTATCATCAATTCGCACCAATCGCTAATATGATTGATTTTATTCAATTAATGCCTACTCAAACGTCTAATTGAATGATCCCCATACACAGACTGAACACATTTCTACATATTAAAAAAAAGTTTGAAGATTATAGAAAAATATTCTCGACATATACCTTCAGGGATTAATAGACAAAGAGCAAACTTCTCTGATATCTGATATGATTATATGATGATAGTTATGTTTGACGTTTAGGGAATTTTATATATTAGGTTTATATTTTATATATTTTAATATTTATTGGCTGTTTATATTTTTTGACTGTCTCCAGTAGAAGGTTGGTATAGGATTGGGAAGAATTTTTGCTCAATTAATCACTCGCCTAATTAATAAATAATATATAAATAATATCTATTCACTAAAATGGTGAAACTACACGATGATGGTTTATAGCTGGATCGGTATACGCGGTTAATTAATGAAGTCGAAATTCAACGTATTGCTTAATCTCAATAGGTCACCTATGAATGATTAATTTTCTTTTTCTTCAATTTTCTAGTTGTTCCCCATTTCAATAGTTTTCTCAATATTTTTACCGTTCATTATAAATCTCCAATTTTTTTTCTAATTATTTTAATTAATTTAATTCCATAATTTCGAGGGACCTACGCGATACGTTTTCTGATGTAACAGTAGAAAAGGAGATTTGAATGAAAGAACATCTATATAAGTTGATCTATATTTGAAATAAGAAAAAATATCTGCAATCTTATAAGAAGCGCGCTTTGATGGGTATAGTTGGAGAAAAACTAGTGGATTATCGAAACTTTTTTGGCTGCTTTTTTACAATCCACAAAGGTGTGCTTTGCATTAGAAGGCCATCAAAGATTTATAAAATTGCATTTTTTTTTCAAATAAAGAACGACTTATATGGATGTTCATTTTTTCGATTATGTTGAATTGTAATTGTTATTGCAGCTCTTACATGAACTTCCTGCGATTAATTAAACACGCAAACTGGTAGAGTGAAATACAATGATTAACCTCTTCCTTGATCCATACACAATTAGTCCCTTTAGAAGTCCATTACTTCAACGGAAAATTAACGTCAGATCCTGTAGGCACATCAATATCTCAGCATTGTTTTGATAGAATTTGATGGATCTTTCCACTATTTTAAGGTTAAATTTCTGCTCTTCAAATTGGTACGGGAAAAATCTCTGTTGAAAATCAATGAATTTATGAAAAAACCCAATAATTGACAAAATAAAAGTTGTCACCTCATTTTTTACCTTCAGACTTCTAACATCTTAGCATCATTCCAATAGAGCATAATGATCCTATAATTGTCGTGAAGCTCTTTCCGCCCTCTTCAAAATTATATGAGATAGATACCCGTTCGATACAAATAAACACAGGAAGAAGCCTGATGAAGGCCAAAAATAACGTAAAATTAAATAGAACGCCTGGTCATTTTGATTTCAATCGAAGAAAATTGAAAAACTATGCCAGATATCTATACGAATGCGAACGTTCCTCTTGAAAATGATCTACAATATATCTCCATTCTCCAAGTAGAAATCCACAACCAAGCGAAAGAATGTTAAAAATCGGGGCTGGAAAGAGTAGAACTATTCTTTCTGTTAGTATAAAAATTTAGAAAAATTTTCCGTCTATTTGATTCCTTTTATTCAAAGGTCACAGTTGATGACGATGTTCGTTCAATTTCTTATGGAAATTTTTGAATACTCCATAACAGGTGGCGGAGAGTTCGGTGACGTATGTAGAGGAAAATTAAAGCTTCCACCAGATGGTAGAACTGAGATAGACGTAGCGATAAAAACACTGAAACCAGGATCGGCAGACAAAGCCCGAAACGACTTCTTAACGGAAGCATCGATAATGGGTCAATTCGAGCACCCAAATGTGATATTTTTACAAGGTGTTGTAACAAAGAGCAATCCTGTGATGATAATCACGGAATTTATGGAGAATGGAAGTCTCGATACGTTTTTACGTGCCAACGATGGGAAATTTCAAGTACTACAACTGGTTGGGATGCTTAGAGGTATCGCCAGCGGTATGCAATACCTTGCGGAGATGAATTATGTTCATCGTGACTTGGCAGCGAGAAATGTACTTGTCAATGCTGCTTTGGTATGCAAAATCGCTGATTTTGGACTGAGCAGAGAAATCGAGAGTGCTACAGAAGGAGCTTATACAACTAGGGTAAGAAAAATGGCCAATTTTTAATTACAGTAAGGATTGGACGAATAACTGTGTTTGAAGGAACCTTTTTGTTGATTGGGTAAGTGTTCAATGATGAGTGGGATTTAGCAGACAACATCCTAATAACTTTTCTTGCAAAAAAAAAACTCTTGAAATATTCGGTAAATATTAACATATTCGGTACTAAGCACAAGATATCATTTTATTGGGAATTATTGAGTATGTGGATCTTAATACAAGCAAAGACTCTCAGTGTACAGCGGTAACCGTAAAAATATCTATAAAATGATCAAAAATAACTTAGAGGCTGAAATTGAGGTTGACTGGATGCCACCTTTGATGCGCATATAATTTTGATGTCCAGAAGACAATAAAATCATACAAAGGTATCATCTCTACTCATTGCAGATAATCAATCAAAAACTGTTACCGTGGTTAATTCATGGCGGCATTAGCACTCAATTCGTTATGTTGCGGTATAATGCATAGATAAACGCTAAATTTGAAGACTTAGGAAGAATCTGTAAAAAACCAAGTAATCTAATCGTGGACACCACGATTTTTTTTCAAATTTTTATCAAGCTTTACTGCAGCGTAATTTAAAAAGTGTGGGATTTAAATGGGGGAAATAAGTACGGTACGATATTCCTTTATATATTTAAATTCCTCCCGTGTTATTACTCTGTGGACGCTATATTATTATTTATCACTAGATTCACTATGTTTACCGCAAATTGTAAATAGCATTGATTTCTCCGGAATTGTATTAGAATAATGGGTAACAGTGCAATGAGTGTAATTCCTTCGTCAAATAATGTTTAATATGATGAAGTGACAACATAAAATGTGCCTTGATTAAAAAACAATTAGTGTAATACAATGCACTTACATTTGATGTGAAATGTACAATGAGCAAATATCTAAATCCAAGAAATTCCTCAGGGTGGAAAAATACCAGTGCGATGGACGGCTCCCGAAGCAATAGCCTTCCGCAAATTCACAAGTGCATCCGACGTGTGGAGTATGGGAATTGTATGCTGGGAGGTGATGTCTTACGGCGAGAGGCCGTACTGGAACTGGTCTAATCAAGATGTGATAAAATCAATTGAAAAGGGCTACAGGCTGCCAGCACCAATGGATTGCCCCGAAGCCATCTATCAGTTGATGCTGGACTGTTGGCAAAAGGAGAGAACGCATCGGCCGACTTTCTCCAATCTAACTCAGACCCTTGACAAGCTCATCAGAAGCCCTGACACTCTTAGGAAAATCGCCCAGAACAGGTAAAAATAATACTCTCAGGTTTCTCTCATATTTTAACTTCAGATATTGGTAGAAAGTCATCAATCTCGGTCACTATCTCGGAATCTAACGCAAATGACGTGGCTTTAGATTCCGCGATGTCGCGCAGTAACTGAACTCGACTCGAATCGATTGATCATTTCACTAAAGCTTTATTACTTGCTAAATTGCAAGGAATGCTGATATTGAATATGGATTCGATGATTCAGATTGAGGTAATTTACTAAACATTATGGAAGTCAAGCTGTAAGATAAAAATGGTAGGAAAATAATTCTTCATCAGAAATTTTTTAACTTATTACCTGTAATATCTAGAGAATGTTCGAGAAAAATTATGAATTCTTATTATGCTCTAACAATTCAAAAATCATAATCATGACGCATGCCAGAATGGCAGTTTTACTCTGTTAGAAATTATTCAATTTACCACACATTTATCATACGTTTGTGCGAATAATTTCAGTTGTAGTTCATTCAACACGAAAGTATTCGAATAATTGTTACTTTTTAAATAGGAAAAATAGAGAAGAATTAGTATAGAAAAGAATTATCTAAACCTCTTTCAAATGTTGTGTACAAATCAATGGAATATATGATAACTTACTTATCTTCCAAAAATTATCATAAAACGCCATCAACGCCCCAAAATTATATTTTCATTGTGATACATAAAAATTTGAAATTATTACATAAGTGCCGTGAGGTAATATCCTAGTTCGTTCCCAGTTGGGACTTTCAAAATTTTCGAGTCAAAACTATAAAAAAACTCGAAAACTCAAGTTCAGACGGTGAAAAGTGTGAAATTGGTCGAAATTTCCGAATCTTATCGTTCACCGAGATTACCTTTTCAACGTTATCTAGATTGTTTTTTTGTCGTTTTCTCAAGATTTTTAAAAAATAAAGTACTGACAAAGTTGACGAATTTTCAATTATCTTAGAACTCCCATGCAAAATTCCAAACAGCTCAGGAATTTTTCACCAAAAACAATTTGGGATTAGAATCGGAGAAGAAATCGTTATTGATTTGTGAAATCAATTATCGTATAATTTTTCTAACCGAAAACTTTTAGAATTAGAATTCAACTCAGATTCTTACGTGGAAATCAAGATTTTTATTGTAAGCGAATATTAAAAACTGAATTTGTTATCATTGGATGTCAAAATTAAGATTTTTTGAAATATCATCAAGAACATTATCCACTACTATACAACAAAGTTCTATTATCTATAGATAAAGGATAAAGGCATGTTTGAAAAGATATCAGTATTTATCGGAATGTATGAAATTCAGCAAAATTCAAAACCTATAAATATTAGAGAACGCAGCTTAAGCCGACTGGACAATAGCGTTACTTATATTTGAAAGATGCAATTCAATTCTATTGAGAAAGAATAATGATCCGATAAATTTATTAAGGAACTATGTGCAAAACTTCAAATAGCGTAGGATCAGGGGAACATTATTAAAAAACCCTAATCACTACTTATGCATGAGATTAAATGGGAACACGAATAGGCTGAATAGCATTCCACCTTGCCGACTAGTTGATGAGATAGGAAATATATAACTGTTATCACTCCAGAAGATGTCTTTGGGCTCGTCGTCCGCGTGATGGCCTTATGACCAGGCGTCCCAGTATCGAAGGTTCGACTTCCGCTGATGAAAATTTTGTCACCAGCAGAGAACGAACTGATAGTCTGTGGAGTTAGTTATAAGTTAGCTGGAGAGAAGTGCGAGTAGAGGATTAGGCTGGGGTATCGCGTAGGTATTTGGATGGATTGGTGAAAGCCCCACCAAGATGATACCACCTAGCCCCATGAAATAGAATAAAATAGAGCGATTATCAATTTCAAATGCAACGTTATGTATGAGCAACAGTTTTGAAATTTTTTTCTACTCTCACCCCGTGCTTAAGCTACGTGAAATTTTGCACATCGTTGTTTAATAAACTCATCAATGTATCAAGAAAATGTTGCAACATTGGCTACTTTTTTTTTTTATTGACATTGCCTCACCCGATTATCATTGAAATAAGACGGAAATAAAAAAATAATCATGTCACATCTTATCAGATGGGAGTAAAGAGAGAGATCAGCGATCGCCACCGCATACCAATTTTGTCTACCATCTCATAATTATTCCATATTGAAAACATGATCAAAAAATTCTAAAAAATGTTTTGAAAAGGTATTTATGTTTTAGAATTTTCAGAAAAGACTTTATGAAACCTATAATTACCCGCCACGTACTTTGCACTCACTTAACTACGTATGGTAATTATTCTATAGTGACAGTATAACAAAAAAAGTAAAAAAAAATATTGGGCTATTTTTACCTGGTTTTTCTTTCCATTATTTTTCCCAGGAATTTCAAATTAGGAGAATAAAAAAAAAAACTATCTCGATAGCGTTGAAACATAATCTCACTGGGCCGTGAATTCACATTTTTTGAAAATGTTACACTTGGACATAAGAAGCAATCATTTCGAAAAGAATCAGATTAATGTCTTTCAGCTTAGAGTCTGAAAATAATTAAATGTTTTAATGGAATAAATGTGTGGTAATTTTGACGCGGGAATTTCTAACATTGTCCGTAACATGTCCATAAATTAATTTATCTTCGTCAGATCACTTTCATATCAACGAAAATGAGCTTTCACAAGAAATTTGATTCATCACATTCAATTTTCCCTATTTATACTTAGAAGCGTATCTAAGCAAGAGAGTAGGAGAAAAAAATTAAAGTTGAAGAAAGCGGAGGAGACACTTTGAATTTATTCTAATCTCGCAGACCTGATTGGCATTACTGGAAGCGGACAAAACTGGACGAATCTCTCACACTCATGGTTTTAATTTCTCTTACATTATCTCTTTTTCTCACATAATTTTTTAAAATGGCTTTTTTTTATTAGTTTCTCATTTAATACTTACTTTTTTTTTAATTAAAAAATCAATCGCTATTATCATTTCTACTTTTTTGCAACCATTCAACACATTTGCAAAGGCGGTAGAGTTAAGTTTTTGAAAAAACATGACGAGACGCAAAATTAATTTATGGACGAAGGGTTTTGAGTTTTTGTTTATTTTATAAAAAAAGGGAATTTCTTGGAGCTTCATTTTTTTGTCGGCAAAATTGCTTCTATCGCTTCTAGCGCTTATATTTTTGTTAAACCATAATCCACCCTTTACTCCACAATTATAAATTCCTGTTCCAATTATTACCTACCATATTACTTGAAGAATATCCAAGGATTTTGTATAATTTGAAATAAAACGAAATTTGTCAATTGAATTATCATAGAAAAATTTTATCAAATTTAGGAAGTTTTGGCGGCCCTTCGAATTGCATTTTGTTAAGGATTGTATAATGTTTCTTTCACCAATTCCGTCCTTTTATTCTATACAATGTTAGTGGCTTTTTCATTGATAGTAATGAGTTTTTCATGTCGTGCCAGAAGCACTAAGCAAAAGCAGATTTTCAGAATTTTTAAACATTAATAATGAGAAATATAACATAAAAAAATGATGGCTGCTATTGAAAATTCTAAAAAGTTATGGATTTCTGGATAACAGTACAAAATTCTTTAGTTTTATGTAAAAGTGGAATAAGTTTTGATTTTTGCAATAAAATAGTACGTTTTTGTTTGTATAAAATATTAGAAAAAACGGTCGGTCTTAAAGTGAAAAAACAATGCAAAAATTAAATGGTAAAAGTTTAGCACATTTTTCGGACAATTCTATCGAATTTTAATCGGGACTATGTGAAATTTTTATTATATTTCTCATGTGGTAAGATAAAACACGGTTTAATTGTTTATCTCTTCATGTCGTGGCACTAGACTTTCAACCTCAAGATACATTTGATACCAAGTAATATATTTTGTTATTAGTAGGAATTTAAGTCAGACTTGTTGGAGAATTATGGTGCATCCGAACATTAGAAACATTGATCATATATCACAAGGTCTTTCTTTTCTCTCATTAACTAAAAAATTCTATTGGAATTCTCTGCAAAGTTCTATTTAAAACTTGGAACTGATTTATGTTAAAAATTCTGCAACTCTGCCGTAGGTTTCGTAATCATTTTTTTCTAATAATCCATAATTCTTATGGACTTTTCTTTATAAGATACTCATTAATAAGCCTGAGGTCGAAGTTGCATAATATTCAAGGGCAATTATGGCAGGGTAGTAATTTTTTATCCCAAATTCAAATAGAACCCCGCTTAAAGTCTTATCAAATTGTGGTATAAATTCAGTAGACAATAATTCCAGGCTCTAAAAGATTAGCCTAGGATTTATAAATTTTAATATATATAAAAAGTGCAAGTATCAATTTATGATTTTCCATTTTGAGAATTGTAGATTTTTGGAAAATCTACTCGAGGTTCTTTAATTTATTCTTTCCTGTCATACACACTAATTACTAAATTATTAGCGAAATATTTGAAAATAGAGGCCCTGAAGCTCGCAAAATCCTTGGCTATCTTCGACCTCTCCACTTTCCACTCCAAGTATCCTCAATAAATTCACTCCCCCAATTTTATTTCTGGGCTAATTGTTTGTGGTTTTGGTTTTGTGGTGTCTTTGGTACCCGTCCGTCTTCAACTGCAACAATCAACCGATTGCGACCATCAATCATCCACCTGCCTTCATCCAACGACATCTCACCAAAAAAATCAAAATTTAAATCAATAAAAAAAACGTAAAAGCGTGAGGCCACCAGCACACAATCCCTACTACGTGACAAGCCAATCGATGAGTGGGGGATTGGTACCAGTTGCTGGTACGGGACAATTCATTGACGTAACAGGCCATCAGCCACAAGCATCGCTAGCCGTTCCAGTAATGCCAGCGGGGGCAGGACGTAGTCTCCATTATCACACACATGCAGCAACACACACATTACCACATCAACCTTTGACATACCCCAATTGGGTGCCATTCACTCACTTTGGATAGACAATATCCATGTGAGTTCATTCAATGTTGCATCGACAAACAGATGAAACAAAAAAATAATGCAAAATATGGATATTTCATGAATATTTCTCATTATGCTTCCGAATATAATATCAAATAATAAGTATCTAAGTCAAGACCAATAACATCAAAAATTAGAAATTACGATGGAGGATTAGGGCCTCTTGAAGATTCGCGATGGGAATCAGCGGGATGAAGATCAAATGACTTAACATTCTCGTGCAAATATTCATTCGACAATAATTACTAATTTATTAGCAAGAACCTTCATTCGGCGCAATTAACTGATTTTTTTTTAGTACATATAATATCTTTCCAAAAATATTCTCCTTTTATAAATTCATTCTGCGTATTGAATTTGCGCAATAAGTTTAAATAATTGCGGTTTGTGCTAAAGTTATTTTTTGTTTCTTCATTTCGCAGTTGTTGAATTATAAAATGAAATCTTCTTTATTAAATTAATGACTTAATAAAAATTGAAGGCTCTTGAAGAATCTTTAAGTTGAAACGATCTATCCTAATAATTTCTTCATGAGAAAAATGTATGGAATATCCTTATTACACAAATAGCTTCACTCACCCTCGACAGACTGCATTTTTACAACTGCTCAAACCTCAAATAACAATAGTATAGTCATAATTGTGTAATGAACTGGTTTATTTATAACAGAAAAATGTTCTTTATTTTCTATGTTTTCAATGAACAGTGCGCAGGGCACGAACTCACCGGAAATTTAATTAACGATGAAAATTCCACTTCTATCCATAACAGTGACGTACTACCCTAATTCTGTACGGGATAATACATCACAGTGTATAGTAATGATTAACATGAAGAAATCGCAGCATATCAATTTGATACATCACAAATTAAAACTCGAGACAAAACTCTATAAATACGACAATTGAACCGGCATGTCTTATCTTGTCAGTATTGGTGTCAATCACAACATTATATAGAAATAAAAAATATCGAATCCTGTGATTAATTATTTCGGTACAGAATTTTGGCAGTCTTATGTCAAATCTGCAATGGGTAGGAGTGGTATCAAGAAACCAATAGCCTACTATCTTTTGTACATCAAGATTTCCTACAGTGACTTACGGCTATTACTGGCCGACTCAAAAGTCAAATTTTAAGTATTACATGGTTAAAATAAATATAGTCACCATTAATTATTCGTTAAGATAAATTTCCAATAGATTCGGTAGATCGTTAGATGATAATAATCAACATGTAGATTATTAGACTGAAGAAAAAGTACGAAAGTTCAAATAAATTATGAATAGCTATAGAATAGAAATCTTTTTATACTCGAGATATTTGATTGTTGTCTTTTGGAAAAACTCTAAAATCTAAAACTTCATATCTGTTTCATGAGATTAAATTTCAGTGATTAGAAGGACTATTTGAATTTGAATCAAATTAAATGAAAGTAGAGAATTATTAAATAAATATAGCGAAAGAAACTGTAGATTTTCGTAGGATAAACGTTTCAAGTTGAGCTGAATCTATTTGTAAAGAAGAAGGTTCAATTAGTTATATGCAGATTACATTATCTCTATAAATATTATTTATTGAATTCATTTTGAGACGCTATTTATCTGGTTCATCATGGGACAATTCCTGAATTTAGAATAGTATTTTTATACGGGGAAGTTTGGATAGACATCTGACAGTATCATACATAAGCCGATGAAAACATTTGTAACAGCATCATAGGAGAAAGAACATTCTGTAGAAAATTACGATATTTTAAGGGGAACTATATGTACCTAACTGGAAAGTGTCATGTCTCATGGATATATAATTGCATTAAAATTGAGGATATCTATGTAATTTCCTAATCATTAAATCTATCAATTTAAATTAAAAATTTTCAAGAAAAATTGGCTACTTAACGTCATTCAGCTTAACTTCATTTTTTGGATATCCTTAATTATTTGTCAAGTAAATTTTTTCAAGAAACGTGAATATTTATACACACGCACACATTACCATGACAACATTTTAATTTCCCACCATCGTTTGGAGCTTACAATGCATGAAAGGCACAAAATTCAAGAAGATGAAGAAAAATCACGAAAAACGTGTATAATAGAAACACGAAGATGGAATGAGAGCGAAATATTTTGAGAAAACTAACAAACCATGTACTAACGATTGTCAGAATCAGAGAAAGAGGTGCACCACCCCCACCTCCACCTGCCTCGTCGGCATCGACCGTGCATTTCAAGACAAGGTAAAATTTCAAAAGAAAACCAACTCTTAAGACAAAATTCAATTTCCCAACGATTGTTCCAAATATCTTCAGTGGGCAATAGAAAAAAAAACACGTTAAACACGTGTTTAATGGAGGCGAAGTAATTGTTGAAAAAATCTGGTGTATATAAAAATGGGAAAAAAACAGGAATGCAGAAGGAAGAGAAATAACCAATTTTGAAGTCTTAGACTGATTTCTTTTCATTAGGAAGTTATCTTAAGTTTTCCAAGTCGTGGGGTATTGGAGTCCAATTCTCTGTATGTTTAGTAGTAATTTTCAAAAAAAAAGAATTATGCCAATTGAAAAAAATGAAAGGGAATTTCTGGAACAGTTGGGATACATAAAATTTTGAGTATCAAAGAAGGTTACTTGTAATTTTTTTTCAATCTATTACTCTGAAATTTCTGGCAGCGAAAAATTAAACTTAATTAAACTAAAAAATTACATTAATTTTATGATGACTGCATAGTAAACAGATAAAAAATCATTGTTTTTCTTATGTGAATTATTATTGAGTTCACGCATGGGCTATAGAGTAAAAATGAAAACTCTCTTTCTAATACCCCAAACCTTGAAAACTACTGAATAATCACTCCTCGAATATACTTTTATTGACTGCTGTGAGAAGAGAGGAATGAAAAGCTGATGACTGATTTAATTAGTTCTTTATATTGGGATTAATTAGATATCCTCTCAAAATGTGATTTTAGATCACATTTCATACCTCTCTTTCTCAAAAATATTATAGGAAACTGGATTTAAAATAAAGAAGAAGGATAAAAATGTAAATGTAGACAGATAATGCTTGAACCCCCAGCCTCTGTTTTTCTTTAGTTTTGTATTAGCACTTGCTTGCATACTGCACACCTTATTCACTCATGATTTGATTATTTTTCAGTCTAGACTTAAGAATAACACATAATGCTGATAATTTCTTCACTCATCACACATTGACGAACACATTCTACATTTCTAGAATTGATGAAACTCTAGGTTATGCCTTTTTGTACTGATGATTAAAGATTAACTGACATGATTATCGAGACATGGCGTGAGTTGAGTCAAAAGCTCGTATAGACAGTTTCATTACAGATATTCAAGTATAATTTCAAGAGATAGGCTTCACTTCTGAAGAGAAGCGTTGCAATCTCAGAGCTTAAAACAAGTTTCTTATTTCCCTTTCGCGGTCTTCAATCAAATCTCAAGCTGAGGATTAACAGTTTTAGAAATATGATTTGAAAAATTTCCACACTTAAGGTAAAGGCTGTAACAGTCAACTTATCTTATATTGGCACATAGAAATGGTATTTGTATGCAAATAGTCATCTAAGCTTTTTGAAACACTCAAAATGAAGGTCTAAAAAAATTTAATCTGAAAATTAATAAAATGTAAAAATTCATTTTTCCCAGTGGAAGTTTCTAAATTTTATGTGTAGATGAAGATTCATTCACGATTCAATGAGAATCCTTATGTTTTCATCATTTTTATTATTGATCCTTATTATGTTCCAAATAATTCATAGATTTTTCATTGATGATCGTTCAGATTACAATCATATCTTAATCTTGTATTGACCAAATCGTTGGTATGATCTTCTGGCGTAACTCACGTGAAATACTCATCCCTGAATTTATTCCTGATAGTGTAAATACCCCTGTTGAAAATAAAAGGTTGCCCGAATTAGTTGCCCCTTCAAAACCCTCTGAGTTGTAAATAAAGTCCCTAGGTACTGATAACAAGTAAACAACAGTTATTACTAAATATTTGTCTATTTCGCAGGGGAACGAATCCACTAGCTCCGGACGCAGTAGATTTGACGCAGTTGACATCAGTTAATGAATGGCTAGAATCGATAAAAATGTCACGTTATGCCCAAAGTTTCGAGAGAGCCGGGGTAACAACCCTCGAGGCAGCAGCTAGAGTAACAGTCCAAGAATTAACCGCCCTCGGTATCACTCTCGTCGGTCATCAAAAGAAAATAATGAATAGCGTGACAGCATTGAGAGCCCAAATGTCAGCGACCTCACAAGGTTTTCTCGTTTGAGATTTGAAAATACTCAAACATTAAGTGCATTTTTTATCGAGGAATTCCTCACATTCCATGACAATTTGGAACGTTTGAGACACTCCAAGAAACCAGTATTCTCGTATGAAATAGTGATGAACGAGAGAAAAAACATGAAGACAGCGGAAAAACATTGCCTGAATTTTTTATTACTTTTTATGCGATACGATTTCGTTATTACTCAGTGAGAAATACCGAACAACTTTCAATATTGTCATGTAATATTTTTCCATGTAGTGAAACTATCGAATGTCTTTACAGCGAATTCTTGTCATGTATAGCCTAAGGTAAACAACGAGCAGTTTCTATGGCCTAAGGTGATAAGGCGAATTTTTTAAATTCTTTTATTAGTTGGAGGAACAAACTAAGAGGCTGGTCATTTCTAAAAAATAATAAATTAAAAGGCTATAAATCATAAATCACTACACCGACTAAACGAATTTGTTTAAAAATTTTTTTCATTTGAATCTCGAAAATTTCGCTTGTCAATTTTAAATCAGATGTGACTACAACAAATCCCTTAATCGTCGTAATCAGAATTGACCACCCTCTTATAAAACAAAAGGGATATTTCTCAACTGACATGAGAACTAAAAATCATTGAACTAAATCAGTTTGAAATAAGAAGAGAATGATTGTGCCAATTTGGAAATCAGAAGTTTATTGTTCTGGAAGGACATATCAAGAGAATAATTTAATATAAAAAGTGAGAAATGCAGTCAAATTGAGATTATTAAAGACTGATATTTCCTCTTATTACTTTTCTCATTTGCCAATAATTACGCTCACAATATTGATTTTACTCATTTCGTTCAATGATTTTCACGCTCTCTTGAAGCCGAATGGACTCCAAATTATCCCAAAAGACTGTTTCGGAATTATTTATACTTCTCTCTAAGACCACTCTTTTCATTTTTTTATATTAAAAAATCCCCAAACGATATTTGTAATGTAAAAGTGACACTCAAGAATGGGTTTTTAATTCTCGGCATTTTATAAATATGAATGATGAAATTATAGAGCAGAGCATGGAATTATTGATGGAACCAGCATTGAGAAGAGATGGGAAATTTCCCAGGTGGTGAAGATTTTATATAGAAAAGAGGTTATATAAATTTAATGAAAGATTTCAAATGATATTACGTATCACTAGAGCTACCTTCGGCAGGTTCATACGAATAATTTTGTATATCCTTTAACAGTTTCAATTAGAGAAACAAAAAAAAAGGAACTGAAAAAGTCGAACTGAAAGGTCTTCAAGCCATAAAATGATATTTCGATGACGACTAGAGTGTAAATAGGAAATTCGTATCATCGCCAAGAATAAGATGATCTTATTATTAACTATTATCATTGATTAGCTATTTCTGTATTTTCTATTCAATGCTAGTAGTAATGTCGTATACATTTGCGAGAAGTCAATTTCTGATATGGTTTATCCTTTTTTAATTAAACTGCATCTGTAAACAATCGATTTTTTACACTTTTTTTTCATTTCGAGGCCTATGATTTCAAGGTCGGATCTGAAAGTTCCAATTTGGATTTTTCTATTCGTTGAGTTGTGATTTTCCAAGTTTTAAATTAAGAGTTTCGAAAATCAAGATAAAGACTGGATGTTCAGAAAATCTGATATTGAACTTCTCAACAAGCTTACATTGAAGTTTTTCCACTTACTAACTTCAGACCCATAAAATAGATTTTTTCAGGTGTACTTTGAGGTAGGCGGAAAAAATATCCCCAGAAAAAATAGCCCACACACCCAAAACGTGTTAAAACCCACCCAATTTGATAGACCATAAGAAAATTAGAGCCCCTGAAAAAATAGACAACGAAAAAAATAATTAAATTAAAAAATAATTAAATTGAGCGAGTTTTAACACGTTTTGAATGTGTGGGATATTTTTTCCCTGGGATATTTTTTCCGGGATTCGTACTTTGAGGAATCGTTTAAATGAAAAAGGAAAAAAAGTCTTGGAATGACAGTTTTATCAACATTGTGCAGCTAATTGTTTCATATCGTCGGTAGCAAAATTTATAAATAAAACAATTATAAAAGAAATGTGTGATTGTGAGGAAGGATCGAATGCCGCGCTCTCTACTTAATTTTTTAATGCCTAGAACGTTGCCTCCTTATTTATTTTAGGATTTTATTACAAAAGCGAGTGGAACCTCCGTGAAAAATGTTTGATTGTGATGAAGAAAAAATAAATTGAGGGAAGTTATTTATATGATAAAATGGTGTTGAAAACACATTCTTCCCTTTTTTGTGAATTATTACGATTTTGAAGGCATGTTTTATTTATAATTTAAAAGTTTCTCGAAGAACTTTAAAGCCTGTGAAAGCCAAGAGAAAGACCTTTTATAATAAATTCGCTATTCATTTTGCATTTAGAGAGAGTGAAAATTCAATCATAAAGAACATCTAATGTACAGCGAAATTTCTTGCTAAAGTACCTGCTTCGGATTTTTTATTTATCCAACAAAAATGTCTGTGTTTGATGCTACCTCTATTTATTACAGTGTAGCTCACTATTTCAATATATTCGGAGACAACTTATTACATTCTATCACAGTATAATTGTTCTCGTTTATATAATCATTTTTTGACGACGAAAAAAAGATTTGATACATGAAATTCTGAAAAATAGCTCTTTACAGGGAGAAATGATTAGAATATATAATGGCACAGAAAGATTCGGCCTATTTTTTAAAAATAGACATCGAAGAATGAATTTTTAAGAACTATATGGAAAAGTAACAAAAAAAAATAAAGAGCTAGAGGTCATAGATCTAATGTGACCCCTTTCCTGATTCTCTTCTTTTATTATGAATTTCCTGACAACCCTCAGCGTGAATTGCCAGGTGACAATTTTTTCGAAAAATTCTTTTTGATATTTCGAAAATACAGTAAATTATAGAGACCTTTAAATAAGATATCAACTGTGTTGTTTGAATTTGACTCCGCTCGATGAACTGTGACTGTATAAAATTAAAAAAAAAGATTTTCAAAAAAATTGCCGTCTGGCAACTCTGCCCTCAGTCCGTATTTTGTTATGATTACTTGAATCTACTTCGTATTTCATGCTTGGTTTCTTTTTTTTACTGAAGTGTGAATTGTACAATGCGACATTGCGGCATCAAAATGAATGGATCCAAATCAAATTGTCACCACCTTAACGAATAAAATTCAATTCGAGAAAAGCATGTTATAAATAATACTGTGATTAAAGCTTCATGTAATAAGTTCATATAATGAAAAATAATCAGTGATATTGCAATCTGTAATAAGTAGCGGTGTGACCAAACAATTCGGTGGAAGAATAATATATAGCTGATGAAAAAGTGAGGAATATACGTGAGAAACTGAGCGACGAAGAAAATCAGGTACCGTCCCGGAAACGTACAGTCAAATGGTAATACTTCCCACTGACGATTTTCTATTCTTCCATTTTCTGTTGGAACTGGAGAACGGATTGAGAAAAAGCATGCACCTCTAGTTCTTTATTGTATAAAATCGTCACAAATTCTAAGAAAATAGAGGAAATGTCGAGAATACAAAAATATATAGAGATATGGAAGGAGAAAGTAAGAGCGAGAAAATTATTATTGAATCTTGGAAAATTCTTTAGAGATACATTTGAGGAAGCAAAAACTTTTTTTCCTATGGTGTTGTCAAAATGATGTTAAATGTACATAAGATATAATAAATAATCTACCTTATATGTTGAGCGAGTTCATTTTATTTCCTAGAATTACTGCAATTGTAGTGCCTCCAGTATTTAACCAGGATAGGTGATTAACTAGAAACACGGCCTTAAGCACACAATTGCATATCATTATACGTATAGTATACGATTGTTATACAAAAAATCTTGTTTATACATTGATTTATGAGTTGTAAATATATAATATTAAATAATCTACTCTCAGAATGTTGCTAGCTAATAAAGATAATAAATCGCTTAACTGAGCTAACTGAATAGTCCATTTGTATTTCTGGAGGATCTAAAAAGAACTTTGAAAGGAGAGACACCAGAGAACATCAGAGAAACTAGGAAAAGATTATTAGAACCTAGGCCACCTTGTTATTTCGTCCAAATTCTGTGATTTTACGAAACTCCAAACAATTCAACACAATTCTGTTGACAAGAAAAATGAAACAAGATGGAAAAAAAATCTTGTGTCTGTCAGAAACACCGCGATCGCATGTTCGTAAATTCGGAAAAAGGGGAGAAATCAAGGTGCTATATAAGACGATGAATCTGAACTTCAATAAATATTGGCACGGAATAATAATGACAACATTCAGTTACATCAACCTTTGTGTTCTTGTTTGATGAGATTCCATTTGTTTTCTTATTGCAAATAAAGAACTACTCATAAAGGTGTGAAAAAAACAGGTCACTTCGAATGGAACGCACGACTATTTCTGTTTCAATCGGAAATAACTCAGTACCTATAAAAGATAACTCAAAGAGAGTTGAACCAGACAAAAAGAAATTAGTCTCCTTTTGAAATTCATGTTAATTGATACATGTCGTAAGGTCTGAAATGTCCAAAACAAGCTCTGGCGAAGGCTATAACAAATCTTTTTTTCTATGATCATTTATTAACAATAAATGATAATGCACGCTGAGTATACTGTAATGTAAATGATTTAGTGTATAGTTCATTTGAAGTTGGCGGGTAAAATTTGAACAGCTCTACACGCATATGTCCACCATCAACCAATAAGAAATAAACTCCAAATGTATAGAGGTTTCAGAAGTTTCAAAATTAATGATGAGGCTTTAGGAAGGGAAGATTCAAATGCATCGGCCCCTTGGGACACGATCATTAACGATCATTTAACTATAATTCACTTTTTTTTTCAAATTCAGCGATTACCCACTGCGCAATTGGCTTAAAAAAAAACAGTTCACTTTCATTTCAGTTTTATGTCCGTACCCTAGCAATTTTGAAAACCACCAGATAGCGCGATGTTTATGGTTTATCTGTTGAGAGTGGTGGTCCATGGCAAAGATCCTGCGCATTTGACTCCGTAAAATCTCTCCTTCTCTGCGGAAACCTTCTCATCCATTTCCAATGCAGGCCAGCCATTGGTCGAGAATCAGCTTCCTCAGCTAGCCGAGCTAGCCTAAAGCGCGGAACGCATCTCTCCAAAGCGAAAGAAACTCGGAATCTCGGAAAGTCATTCGAGTTATTAGTTCACAAGCTCTCCAACAAGTTGCTGAATGAATAGAATGCAAGAAGAAGCGATGCTGAATCTCCGGTGGGATCTATTTTCCTCTCAACTCGCCACAACTCTCGACACTTGTTACGAGAAGCAATATTTCGTGGACTCGTCTCTAGTATGCAAGGACGGCACAATAATAAAATGCCATAAGATGGTGTTAGCCAACTCAAGTACATTTTTCCGTCGGATTTTAGTCAAGAACGATCACCCCCATCCGATGATAGTCCTGCACGATATCGATGCTGATGATCTGAAAACAATTGTCAACTTCATGTACTGCGGGGAGATAGAGGTGGTGAAGAGCGAGGTTAGGAGACTGCTGAAGATCGCGGAGATTCTTGAAATCTCAGGTCTGAAGGACATCCGCTCGTCTGCACAGTTCCAGAAGACTTACGCAGAGGAACTTGCGCCATTTCTCCCTGGAAATATTTCCGAAGAGTCTAAAAATCCCAGCAAGCCATACTACTTTCGACGAAGGCCTCAAGAACCTTCAAGAACTCCTGAGAATTTTCTCCACAAAGCTGAGAAAGTCGAGGCTCGACCAATCAGCGCTCCTTTGAGTCTCAAGGACATTTCTGAATCCACCGAAGGGAAAATCACAGAGAAGACTAGTCAGAAGCGATCCACCGGTGACAACTGTCACTACTTGAAAAAGCTTCGTCTTCTGGGAGAAATTGACATTATCCGATGCTCCGATGAGACATCGCCTGAGCGACATCCAGATGAGTCGGAGTCCCCGGAGTGTACTGAAAATTACGGGGTTTTCATAAAAAATGAAATCGATATTCCATTTGATGTCGGGAACGTAGAAACGGCAAGTGCGCTTGATAGTGTTGAAAAAATTGTTAAGAAGAAATTGAGTTCTGGGATTGAAATCTTTAAAGCACACCCTAAAGGATTCATAGAGTCGTTACCTGGGCCAAGCAGAAGTGAATCTCTCAGTCCTCGATCTAGAAACTCTGTGGATTCTTTTTAAATTAAGGCTGAAGATTAAGGTATTCTCTTTTGTTTTTTAATCATCTTGTGAATGTGAGCGGCAACAACACTGGGTTATTGCGTGAATTACAATTGATTAGTTTGTGATATGTTCAGAATTTATTTATTTGAATGAGATTTTCCCGGTGATAGTATCAGTACCAATTTGTGAATGACTTCAAAAGAAAACTGGAGCAAGTACATCTCTGCTATGCCTTTACATTAATCAAATGAAAACACGCCACATTGATAATTTCCCGCTTATGGATGTCATTAAAAATTAATGATATCGCTCCGGATCTGTTTATGGATATTATTTCATCAATTTTCTTATCCATAAAACAATGAAAGATGTAAATCAACTTAAATGCAGCGAACAAGGATTAATTCACCGCAAACCAGGAACCTCTTTACAAGTATGATATACAAAATAGTTTCACACAACAATTTTTCAATAAAAAAATTCGACAATTTATTTTCACGGCATTCTATTTTTAATTTTACTTACAATTTTCAAATTGTATTGCAACATTTTCATGCATTTTTCCTATATACAATAGTTCCTATCGGACACAATAATTTACAGAAAATGTGAGGAAATTTTAAATACAATTCATGAGAAATTAATGGAATTTCTAATACAAGCCCAATCACTGTTTCTACCGATGCATTAAATTTTTGCATGAAATTCTATCATTAGAGAAGAAATTTGTACAGCGTGACTAGGGAAAGCAACTTGGATTGTCTTCAATATGAATACTCATATGTTTTTACTGGCAAATATGTGTTTCCATTCCGAAACAAAATGCAAAGGGATTTTTCGGAGTCGTCTTCTTGAGTTGCCATGGAGATAATTCAAATTGATCTAACCAACATTTATACATTGATACATCGGGGCATATCACCGTACCCGTCTTTCCTCAGTTAATAAAAAACGATGGAGTTTCCATTCGAAAAGCAGGAAACTTCTAAAAACTTATGCTCTCAACGACACATCACGGAGGAAGAATTCCAAAATTTCATGCAGAGAGTTACCGAAGTCGGTAAGTTGAGGACAAAGAAAAATTCGAACACCTCTAAACAATATTTCTCATTTCCCAATAAAAAATTAAGAGAAAATCGTGAAAAAGCTCGCTTCTTCTGATGTGAACGAGCAGAACAACGGAAAGCTGCTAGCCGATAATATCCTTAAATCCAACAATGCTATAGAAGGCAACTTGTCGGGAGATGAGGAGTTGAAAACACGAACCGACCGAACATTGATAAATAACTGTTCGACGAGTGCAACAACTGATTCGAACACAATGTCTAAAGGTAACGAAACGAATAAATAATAGCCATTATTTTAAATATAGTTTTTCTTAGTAATAAATTGGCAATTTCTTTGTAAACGCCCATTTACATGCGAATTTAGACAATTTATACATTTCCTCATTCTTTTACCCTTATTCAAATTTTAATCGATCCCTTATGACCCTCAATTTCCAATCGTGACCTTCGAATTCAGTCATTATGTCAACTTCATTCTTTCCTTCGTAAACATTAACGTTAATGATACTTTCAGATTTCCTATTGAGTTTAGAGTTTAAAAATTTTTTTAGAAATAAAGCTCCAATATCGCTTATGATGCGACATCGCTCAGCTCTGTCTGCCATGATATCGAATTTTGCAATTCTTTCAATTTGATCGAGTCATCGATGTTGATGTGTCGACTTTCGCGTGTCATATATACTCACGTATTTAATTTTCATGTACAACCTCATCGAGTATGTGATCCAAAATAGTACAGAGGAATGGGGAATAATAGAAAAAAAATTCTAATAAAAATTACACTGATTAGATTGAATTACATGCAAAGGAGCTAGTGCGCCCGAAGGATGTGATTCTAATTTTATGTTATTCGTGGCAATGTTCACCATTTATAAATGACTAAGGAAGTAGGGTAGGATCGCAAAGCCCAGGACTCAAATAAAAATTCGATGTTATTATTCAATATAAAAAAAAAATGTAATGGAGTTCGACGATTACCATGCCTCCATTTAGAAGCAGAAAGCCTGAACAACAGCCTCAAGTAACTTTTCTTTCTTTTGGTGAGTTTAGAGGTTTTCATGAAGACAATGGAGAAAGATGCCCGTGAACGCGCTGAAGACAAGAAGCGGAGAAATGAAAGAGCTGACACGTACAAGAGAATTGGCAATGGGGCATTTGATAGCGGCGATTATGAAAAAGCTGTCACTTATTACGGAAAAGCTATTGAGCAGCGGAAAGACTCAACTGTTATTTGGAATAATCGTGCACTCTCGTTCATGAGGCTAGGGCTTTATGAGAAAGCCTTACAAGATTGCGAGTGGGCTCTCAAAGTTAATGATTCTAACATCAAGGCGTTGCTCAATAGCGCAAAATGTTATGCATACCTGGGGAATCATGAGAAAAGGGATGAATTCATTAGATTGTCTAAAGAAAGAATTCCCAGATTCTCCAAGTATATTGAAGGTAAATATTGAGCGTATCCGAGTTTTTTATGTAGATTCAGAACAATTATAAATTTACATTGTATAGGACATTCAAACAATTTTTTTCACCGAAATTCAATTATATTCGTTTCAGATTTTGAAAAAGCATTGAAAGAAAATCCGAATGATGTCATCCAGGATGAGGAATCTATCGTTTAGAGGAGAAATAGAAGACTATAAATTATAAATATTTGTATTTACAAAACACTCAGTAGTTTGAGAATAAAAGCCTTATTTATCAATTCTAATCTATACTCTAATAACATGTTTTTCCACTTAAATTAACAATCGATTCGTTTTGCATCTTTTTCTTTCAGTTCTGACAGCGACCTAGGTTCATGAAGTATTGCTGTACATTCGACACCCTAAAAAGGAAAGATGAAAAATATTTATTCTTCATGTTCAATACTTAAAAGACACATCTCTGAAAAGTTAACGCAAATCATTGAAGGGGGAACATCGGTGAGTTTTGTTTTTTTTCTGGCGGTATATGATTTTTATAAGATGTTTTGTCACTAGCAGTTAGCATCACCCAGAGTTACAAAGATCATAACACGATCTGGTTTTTCTAGTTGTTTTTCATCTAGTTGAATCTGACTTAATTTTTTTCTTCATTCCCCATAGTTATGTTATTATTTGTTCACATCCGTATAAAGAAGGCCCATTTTGACAGTATTGGACTTATCTATGGGGGTGTATATCTGATTAAATTTGCAACTTGTTGAGAGGTCAAAATTCAATGTACTAATCTATTGAGTTCTACTTGTGAGTTGGATAGATCATGGTTTAAATACTTAGGAAATGCCCGTCTGAACAGGGATTGCGATGAAATTATTGGGTCATGATTGAATAAACAAGCTTCGACAAAGTGGCCCATTTTCTCAGAGATGCAGTTCTCAGCGCGGTAACTGATTTTTCAGGATTCTTTATTCTGAACTCATGAAAAGAAATTGAAGAATCTGGACCGAAATTAAAAAATTATCTCAAAAACTTAAGCCGACAATATGGACCCTTCCTATGTGGACCTTCACATTTAGCAAATGAATTCAATTTCGCAGAAAAATTGTTAGGAGAATTTCTACATTGATTATTAAAAAATCATCATCATCATATTACTTCGAGAAGTAGACTTGGATAACTCAAAATTGTGTAAAAAAAATAGCAATTCTCAAGGAAGTTAGTTTCAATATTTTAAATTACCTTACCTGCATCCTGGCAGCTCTGACAAAACCTTCATTAGCAGAAACAGTGACACTTCTGGTATTCTCTCCTGAAGCAAAAACCAGCCTCGATCTCAGTTTTATTTTCCCACCGATTATTAAGTTCAAAATTCTTCCATCAGTTGCATCTTCAACTACATTAACCCTTTGCAACAGGTCCTGAGCTCTTGCAGTTTCCTGAGGACCTCCGATCATATTGATAATGTCCATAAAATTCTTGTAGGCAGTTTTACAAACTTTGAGAGATTTACCATGGAAGAGTTTATGTAAAAAGGGTTTGAGCGGTCGACTCCTCTCCCATTCTGCTTGAAGAGTTAATAAATCCTCCAAGTATCTGAACTTCGCATGTCCATTGGTCATATTACTTACATAAGCGAGAAGTGTAGAAACATCCAGATTCAAAGACACTGTTACAGTACTAGAAACTGCCGGCTGGAGTAATGGACTAATTTCGAATTGGGGCGATGGCGAAGATGCAACGATAAGGTTTTTTGTCCGAGCGTTTTCTGACTTCGGTGCTGATGAAGCTCCAGCTTCTGGATTTTCTACCCCAAAGAATGAAATGGAAAATCAATGTAGGATAAGAATATAAACATTTGTGAATTCTTTACAAGATTTTCTTGGATTTTTATGAAATATTTAACAAATAGTAGTTCCGCAGATGTTTTCATTAATGAGAAATCCTCAAGAGAAAGTATTCTGTGAAAATCTCAACCAAAAACCTTGAAAAATTAATAACGAAAAATTTTCTTACAGCATTTTTTAATAGGACAACTCATCAATATTTCGAGTGGATATTTTCGATTGAAAACAAAGCGCCGAAAAGAGGTATTTGTTCGACAGAGTACAGAGATTGTTATAACCAATGAATTGAATGCTTACCACGTGTTCCGCCTCCCGGACAAATATCTTCCCTCTCAATGAGATCTCCCTCAATGAAGACTCCCAATTTTTCCAGTTGAGAATATAGCGTAGTCTCTATCCCATACGCGAAGTAAAAAATGATATTCGGAGGTTTGTAATGATGAGGATGAAGTGTGGCACATTTTAGATGGCTCTTAGCATGATCCAAAATCGATTTCTGACCATATCCTCCATTTCCAAGAGAGATTAATGTAAGAGCCCGAGCATTCCTAGCAATGACTTTAATCCAGGTTGCTCCGCCATCGCAGATTATATCAATGGTGAGGCGAGTCTCCGAGTCTGGAAATTTGAAGGGTTTCAGGACCTCGGCCGGGTTTTTCGAGGATAATAGACGTTCGACTAGGGCAGTCAGGTGGATCAAGTTGGTACTGTGTAGATGTTCCCTTTTCACACTATCTGTAGAACGAACCTTTATCGCAATATACAGCTATATAACACTTATTATGAAGTAATAAGAAAAAACGAGTGGGTAGTTGCATACATTTCGTTTCGAAGCAGGAATTCTTGCTAATAAATTAGTAATTGGCTTTCGAATGGATACTCATTTTTATTTTTATTCCTCATTATTATATTCATTTGACTTTTTTGTAGTTATTGTATATGTCGAGTTAATCTCATTCACAAGCCAAAATAGAAAGATTTCAAACTCATATCAGTTGTCCAGTAAAATTTGTCAATGAGTTTTCTTTTTGATAAACCAAACCAGTTGTTACCAGTGCGTAAACTTTTATTATTCTGAACCCACGAGTAATACATTATTTTTTCTATACACCTGCACGGAAAGTTCGCACTTTGATGCACTTTTAGCGGGAGGAAAGTGAACACTTTCTAGCCGAGGGCAGGGAGTATTCACTTTGTCCCCGCTCATCCGGGAGCAAAATACTAAGTTCCCTTCGCAGGCATGTTGAAAACTAGCATGTACCCCTCGGGTGGGAAACATAATTTTCAGCTCTAGATGCCATAATATATTTACCTTGGAGAGTAATTTAAAAAGAAATAGGGAGTGGAGGTGGCAAGTATTGTGTCCTGGAGTGCGTAAATTCCAAGGTCAACTCGAAATAGACTAATACTCTACGCATTTAAAGCAAATATTTCAAACAAATAAAAATTTCCACCGGGGAACTTATAAAGTATGTCCATTTATATGAAATAATAAGTGACGAACAATTGTGAAAGGGGGAAAAATTCCAATTTAATTTTGAAACAAAAAATTGCATCACTTTGAAACTCTTATCTACAGCATGGCAGATTGCAAAAATAGCGTTGGAATAATTTTTATTTATAATTTAATTTATCTATTGGAAATCGGAATGTATGCATTTACGTCACCAGTTCGATACAAGTCCTAGTGCAAATGTCTTCATTTATTCCAACGTTTTTTAAATGAATTAATCTGCTTATTTATAAGAAAATTCAACTTGTGAACTATTGTAATTGATCCTAGGATATCTACCAATATTTTCAAACTCTTGTCTATTAACGAAATTTCAGATGCAATTTGGGTCATAACACATTTAATTAGATCAGCGTTTTTCATCGTTGTACATCGACATAAAAGTACAAATTCTGATTGATCTCGGTTGAATCTTCCACATTCCAATCTGTCATTAGCGGAAATTTATTTTCGTCGAGCAAAATCGCTGTTCAGTGTGTCAAGAAATTTCATAAAATTTCCTCACTTAAGGCCCGGGTGGACTATATCTATCGAATGTCATCTTTTGTTTAAATTTTATCCTTTTAGCCTAAAATACACTAAAATTTGGGATCAAATTTGTGTTGCGGGAGCTACTCGAATGGACATGAAAAAATAATGATAAAAAAGAGGAAAAATTATTGAAGGGCGCCAAAGAACGATATTGCTCAAAAGGTATCTACCAAGTTTACAAGAAAATAATAAAAATTACACAGCTTACCATTGCTCTCCAGAAGATTCAGTGACAACTAGATGCAATAGTAAGCTACGTATTTTTATTATTTTTTAGCAAACTTCGTAAATTCTTTTTAAATAATATCGATCGGTAGCGCCCTCTTACTATAATTTTTCCTCTTTTTTTAAATTATTTTTTCATATCCATTCAAGTGCTTTCCACAACAAAAAAATGATCCCAAATTTTAATGTATTTTAGGTTAAAAAGATAAAATTTAAACTAAAGTCGACGTTCGGTAGATAGTCCACCCGGGCCTTAAAGTAATTGCTGCAATTAATTTCTAAAATTCATTATGAATATTGCAATCTATGCAAGGAATTTTCAAGTTTTATTCAAAATTTTCGAAAAAAATTTTCTCACATTTTTTTTCCAACCATTGCAAGAATAATTATAGAATGTAGCAAACAAAACGAAACAGCAAGTGTTTCATTATGGAGAAACTATTAAATTTAGCGATCTATGGCATCATATCGATTTTTCCATACGTGAGTTTTCCACAATTGAGCAATATATTAAAAACAAAATTTAGTGTACTCCTTAGATATTGAGCTCCAAACCATTCATTTGGATTTATTTTCTGTAATGAAGGAAGTAATGGAAAATGTTTCCATTGGTTCATGAAAAATTAATGTGTTCTAAATGACGTAATCTTCAATGTTTTATGGCTAATTAAAAAATTGATAAAATATATATATTTATTTGAAGGGTTTTTTTGTAGAACAAATAAAAATGTAGTGATGAATTTACCTTTTCAAGAAATCGAATCTCCTGATTGATCTTTCGCGAGAGTTTCCCAACCCCTGGGACATCTTTGTAGATGTTCAATTTTTTCATTAGCTCTCGACCACTCTCTATTTTTTCAGCGAGAGGCATCATCAATCCTGATTTCTCTTCCATGTAATCAGCCTGAATCTTCTATTTTTGTTCGAAATTTCTGCGTTATTCTTACTATTCTGCGTTTTCTGAGGTTAACACAAACATCAGTTGAAATTAATTCTGCACTTGACTAAAGTGGTGTCCGCCATCATTAAGCGAAATAATTCTCGACAGTCTCGATATTTATTTGTGGGATGTTTGTGTTGTATATGGTTAAAGTGTATCATGCTATAAAATCTCGAAACGATATTAGAATGTGAAACAATTAAGTTTTTCCTCCGCGATTGTTGTTTGTTGTTTTATCGAGTGGAAGAACGGGAATAATTTTTTTCAAGAGCGAGAGAAAATTGGGATGTTCTTAGCATTTATTGTCATCAGTGATATTGGCTTAAATCTTCGGGGGTTATAGGACTTTATATAGATTTACGAATTTTTGTTGCTTATTAGAGCATTAAAAAAAAAGGTGGAAAATGTCGAAGAGGAAAAGCATTGAAAATCCTGAAGTGCCAGGTGAGCAGTAGAGCAGTTCATGTGTTGTCTTGACTTACGTTTCTCACCGGTCGAACCGCGGATTTCTGCTCGAATTTTGAACCAAATTTACACGCATCAAAAAATTCAAACAGAAAATTACAAAATTCTGTGAAAAATGCTATTCAATTTAAGTAAGGCTTCGATTTTTTCAATAGTTCAGTAATGCTGTTAAAAAATTCAAAATCTCTTATGCGCTTTTTTTTTTCATAGAAACGTTCAAGGTATGGGTGAACTAGCTTTAGTCAATTAATACATGGTCAGTTTAGGAAATATGTTGATTTATAAGATCGATGAGTTATTTTACATTGTCGTCAAATTTCCACCATTGAATTAATTACATAGAGGAAATAAAATCTCTAAACATCTGAATATCTTGAGAGCAATGATGATACCGTCCTTTAAATTTTTTGAATCGCTTGCGAATCGACAAAAAAATTGTAAGATTGGAATTTTTTACAAAAAATTTTTTCCTAAGCTCTTTTACAAGTTATTTTGCTTGATTTTATGTCGTCAAACGCCCTTTAAATGAGAATCAAGAAACAATCATAATTCTTCTGTGAGTCCATTGTCACAATAGTTTCCAGAAAATCACTGATTCTCTTTGTTTTCAGGTTTGGAGCAAAATCTTCCTCCTCCTTTGCCTCCAGTGTCTCCCGAAAAAACTCCTGAAATTCCTGCACCAGCCAACCTCCTCTTAGAAAATCAACCAATTCTCCAACAAGTGAATTCATCCATAATCCTCAATCCCTCTGCCCAGATTAACTGTAACGAGTCCCAACCAATTCCTCATATCATGCCGCCCCTACCTTACATGTCACCCGCGGTACCACAGCCACCGGTGGGACAAATGATGCCCTGGTGGGTTCCAATAGACGCCGATAGTACTAGTGTGTATCCTCAATGGTCGGAAAATCAAAACAAAGTTTTCGCGTCGGAAGTTACTAATGATAGTGGTACAGTTCATTTCAAGAGGAAGATTGAGCAGGTTGATCCTGCCAAAGACGCAGGTAAAAGTTTAGAAAAATTAATCACTTTCTATAACCCTACCATCTTTTCCCTGTGTTACAGAAAAATCTATAGTTAATTGCTTAGAAAATTGTATTGGATCTCTATTTCACGATTCAATTTTTAAGTCTGGTTGGATTATTTTTGCTGCGAATGGAAGCACTACAATCGTCTAATCCCGACCCGAAAGAAAAAATTCTAATTGTGCTTGAAAACGATGTAGAATGGCCTAAAATTTTTTGATAATGTATGTGCGTGTATTCTCCTAACCAGTGGTAATTTTTAGTTATAAAAAGATATAGGTGGGCAAAAAAATCCAAAAATTTGAAAATTTTGTTAGATAGTAGGTAACCGCTCCAGCCATTTTTGAGAAATCGTGGTTTAGTTATAAATAGTTTTTTCGAAATATCTCCAAAATTAAGCAAGGTATTAACTTTTTCATTTTATCTTTTTCGTCATGCTTGAATCTATTGGAATCAATCAAAAATTGGAAAGTGAACCCTGGGAGAAATCATCGTTATCGTCACATTTCTGTTTTTGAAACAAAAATTTTCGCCTTCTCACTCGCCTAAAAATAGGAGTATTAACTTGAGATTTGCAGGAAATATTCATTTCATTATTATAACGGATGGTAGTGAAAATGAGTTTAATTGAACGATTAGTGTCGGAGAGATTCAATTTTTAGTGTGAAATGATTATATGAAATATCTCAAAATTGACTGGACCGTAAAATTTTATAGGAAAAACCATATTGTAAAAACCATTCGGAAGCTCGCCATCAATTTGTTGATGGCATCGAAAATATACCCATATATTTCAATAACTCGCCTGCTTATTTAATCTTAAATTTTGGTGGACAGTTTTCTATGCTACGAAGGTGTGCAAAAAATATAAATATTGTTTTTGGAAAAAAAAATTGTGACTAATTTGAAAGGACCTATTTGCTTTCTTATGGAGTAATAATTGAAGTATCGATGACATTTCGAATGTGGTTTACAAATTGACTATGAATGAACAAATGAATATTAGCTTTTAAGTTAACAAAAATATTTTTCCGAATTTTTTTATCACTTGGACAATTAAATAAACGCGCGTGAAATACATTAATCATTTTTTAAATTACTCGTATGGAGTTTCGGAATGAAAGTTCCCGATTGTTGCAGGACATTATATTCATATTATTACATGCTTAACCGTGAGGAATCACAAAATGATGAAAACAATACAACAAAAAAATTCGAATGTGACATAGTATTTTATGTGCAAATATATGTTTGGAAGGTCGTAACATCCGTGCAAATAGAGATACGCGGATGGAACGAGGACTGTTTGAAATCGGATTCCACAAGTTTTGAAATGACCTACGATATGCATTCCATAATTTGAGAAATGAGGAGAGCTTTGAGAGCTGAAAGTATCAGCTGACTCAGTGTGACAACTGTTTTAATAAGGATAAGGACTCTGTTACACAAAAAATTTAAGCGGTGATGAGATATTAGCTTCAGCTGTGTTATCTGCTAGACAGCGCTCCACTGTCATCGGCTCTATGTAACAATGTAATTAAATCAATATTTTTTGGTCAATTATTTATGTATAGTATATGACATTATTTCAATTTTCCTCGTCCAAAAATGAAGCTGGTCCTCTCAAATTTTTTATGAATTTTTTTTATTTCTAAAATATATAACCTTTATGAAAATTTGGAAACTGTGCTGAATTTTCGAATAAAAACACGTTAGATAATTACGAACCAGTAATGGATTCGTAACTTGATTTTTTAGAAATCAATGTAAATAAACTTGTAAATTGATGCTATCTCTTGATTTTTTTTATAGATTAAGTTGTCTCAAAAAGCCTTTTTTCTTCAGTTTTTCTGCAGAAATCTTTCAGGTGATAGTTTCTTGCAAAACAAAAATACAAGAAACTGTACAATTTTCGATAGAAATCCAATTATTATTTCTAGCAAATATTATGGATTTTTCCATTAATTGTTTTTCCATGTATTCCTTGCAATGTGCAATTTTCGATTTATAGTTTTTAACTCTGATGCAATTTGATTCATAGAAAAAGTTGCCAGTGCCCAGTCGGAACTCTCGGCCCTCATGAAACCACTGAGGTGTGATCTTTGTAATGCAGTTGTAAGAATCAGAACAAATTTTACTTTTTGGATATGTGTACTGTTCACTTTTCGTTAATTGAGAATATCAAGACATTCACGTTTTTTTGGCAATTCGTTTTTTCTCTTTAATTTTGTAGTTAATAATTACGGGCCAATGAATCGCGAAAATCAGTTGATATCTGGAGTAAACTTATCAAATTGGCCAGGTGCGTTCATTCTTACGTTCTGTTGAGAATATGAAGTAAAGACATCACCATTCATATTAATGCTATTTTCGGTAAATACTTCGGTAAATTCAATCAACATCCAATCAACGGAGTAACCGGACTCAGAATTTTTCTTCATCCGTTAATTTTTTTAAAGTTCCTTGTCTCAATCCAATGTATCAATTCTATGGTAAAAATTTGAGAATCTATTTTTAGGAGTAATAACAAAATCGTATCCATATAAAAAAAATGAAAAGTAGTAGTAGTACCTTTCTAATGATTTTTTTTTATGTCTGTAAGAACTCTACAAAAAAATGTGTATTTCTATCCGAATTATCTTGAAATTATATAAAAATTATATTTACTTTTTGTTATATTTTATGATAGACAAGAATTGAATAGGTGTTATTTTTTTTATACAACCTATTTTATATAGACTTTTTCAGTAACAAATCTTGTTAGACTCAAATTTTAAAAATTCTTGATGAATTTTGTTATCAGAAATTGCAAACAAAATGCGAAAGAACTTGTAAAACTTATGCTTACAAATTCGGATGGAGGAAATACGAAGAAAATAATAGATTTTAAAAGATCGAAATTGATTCATTTTCAGATGAACTCAACTTTGCAAGCTAAACTTCACTACGAGGGTAAGCCACATCAAAAGAAGGTGTCCATGTTCCTCAATCAGAGTGTGAAGAAATTGAAAACCGACGAGGGCCCTATTACTACAACCTCAAGTGATTGGAGCTCGTATTGTGATGTATGTTCAATCAAATATTGCAACGAAAATTTTAAGATTAGTTTATAAGCCTGTTACAAGAAATTCTAACAATATTGGTTCGATATTCAATCATTTTCAGATTTGTAAGACTTGGTTCACGTCTCAGGCTGACGCATCTCAGCACTATGCTGGGAAAAAGCACATTCGAGCTACGACTGGAGCGCCAAAAAAAAAGTTACGTATCCGCTGATTTTTTCTACGAACATATGTTACTTTAGAAATTATCCTAATTTGAGAGTCTGTGCCTTTTCGGTATTATCTGCAGCCAAGAACAAGTGTTATGCACTGAGGGAAAAGAAGATTTTTTGTGAAGTGTCTTGACTTATATGAAGAAGCTCATATTGAAAAATTTCCAAGAGACCGATATCTTACATCGAAAGAAACAAATTTAATAAGAAATAAAAGCTTCGGTGTAGGTTGGGAGAAATTAATAATCTTTTTTTTTATTAATGCTTTAGAAACTCTGTTTTGGGTTTATTAGCGAATATATCTACGTAAACTGACTCATAAATATATATTAATAATTATATCTAATTCACATTGCTGCAACTAAGTTCCCGTTGCTGTCAATACTCTCGGCTACTGATGAAGATGGAATTGATATAGATCGGATATTGGACCTATTTTTTCAGGCTTTCTATTAATTTCTCCCTCTGTGATTCGAATTTGTTGCATTCGAAGATGTGGTTTAGGTCTTTAATGGGATGGCCACAACAGCATTTCTCAGCATTAGTGATGTGGATGCGATGTAATGAACTAGTTATCTTGACATGATTTGCGCTGGCTTTGTTAATCCCAAACAATTTGCTCTTATTTAAATGTACAGAGTTTTTAGTACTAGGATTTAGTTGTTTTTCTTGTAAAAGTTTGCAAAGTACTCCTTGCTCTTGTCTTCTCCAGGCATCTCGGTCATTTCAACTGTAGGTTCATAAGCTTCTTTTCTGAATGTTTCTCCAAAGTCATTGCATGGCACTCCGATTATCTTTGATTCTATATTGCTCGTAGCTTCCCTCGTCAGTTTGTCGGCTTCTTCATTCCCAGAAATCCCAACATGAGGTGGTATCCAGTGAAATTCTAATCAGTGATCTGATTCTGCGTTTAGCAAGAATTCATTGTATTTCTTTTTGATTTCATGAATGTACCCGTTGGTCCTTATGTTGAGGTATACATGTTTGAGCGCTTGCAATGCACTGACACAATCCGAGAATATATGAATGCTTTTTTTTTGGTGCTGAATAACAATATCCATTGCTACACTGACGCCTCTAATATTTCCACTTTTGGCCAACCTTATGTTCAATTGTGGACAAACATAGGCGTACTTCGTGGACTTTACTCCTTCAACCGTACTATCATCCGCAAAGATGTAATAAGCACTGTTGAGATTCTTTTCCCAAATTTCTTCTAGTATTTCAGTCAATTGGAGGCAATTGGTATCTCTGTAATCAGGTCTTCAAAATAATGTGAGTAGAATCTGAATCGCTCTTCTCTCCGTAACTGCTTAACCATTGGTTTAATCTCTTGAATGGAAGTTAGTAGGAATCGATTCTGTCTTTTTTTAGTGCGAATTCTTGCTGTTATATGATCTTCAATTAAGATACATATTTGCAGACCTTTATTCCTCATCACCTTGATTAGAAAATTTTTTATGAGGTACTCTGCTCGTTCTTTTACTGTTGTTAGTTTACTCTTGCCTAATAGTATATTGGTAGGAGTACTCCTTCTATAATCCATTACTGCTCTTATAACTTTTGAATCTGTTCTAATCTATGTGCTTGATGTTAATAGGTGGGATAATAAATACCCAATCCATAATCTAGACAGGACCGAACATAATTTTTATACACAATCAGCAAGGTAGCAGGATTAGAACCCCACCACATTCTTCCCCAAAAATTTAATGATGTTCAGTGCTCTTTGTGTTTTTTTTTCTATCTTCTCTATCTGTCGACTCAATTACATTTTATAGTTGATAATAATTCCTAGGAATCGACATGATTCAGTGGGAGGAATTCTAGGGTCATTGATGCGAATGTCAGTATGCCCAGGTTTCATTTTATGGATGTTGAAATGCGGCAGATGCATCTTTCGCGGAGATAACTCTAGTTGTAGTAGGTTCCATTATATCATTTGTACGGTGCCTTGAGTCTTTCCTCTTTGTAATGTAGACATTCCTTGAGATTACTACTACGATAGTAGACCGCCGTATCATCAGCAAACTGCACATTTTCACTCTTCCTGAGATACCCTCATTGATCATGGAAACGTATATCGAGTATAGAAGCAGGCTAAGAACACCCTTTTGGGGAACCTCTTTATATATATGCCATATTCCTCCAGAGGTCGGAGTGGTTTCATGTGTTAAAAATCGAATAAATTTCAGAATTTTATAACGACAGTCAATATATTGCCATACATTGCCTACACTGAGAAAAAAATTTTTTTTTGCCAAGAATATTTTCTTCCCACCAGTAAATCTGGCGATCACTGTGTAAACACTCCCATAAGACTTACTAATGCCGAATATATTTTCTTGTGAATAGTAAATATTCTTGGCTAAAATAAATTTTTTTCTCAGTGTACATTACCAAATGCCTCCGCGACATCTAGGAATATTGCTATTGTGTATTCCTGAGTTGGTAGAGCATGACTTACTGAGAGTGAAAGATCTACCAGGCTGTTCATACATGACGGATCCTTTGCGGAATCCAGTCTGTGTTGCGACCCAGGTAATTCTGTTCGACCCATCAGTCAAGTCTGTTCTTGATTATTGTCTCGAATAATTTACATATGCATGAGACAGAGTGATAGATCTGAGTTCCGTTCCATTTTCCTTGGGTATGAATAGTACAAATTGATTATTCCATGATTTTGGATATGACCCTGAGCTAAACATTTCATTGTATAGATTAGGAAGATTAATTGGTACTTGACTAGCAGTTTTTTCAGTATGACATTGTCGATGCCATCAACATCCCTGAGATCTGTGGGTACAAATGGTGGACTAAGTCTATCCACGACTCCATCTGTTTGGCTCATCTCCTGAAGATTATCTGTCTGTTTTTTTTTTCCTGGAATTTAACCAACTTGTTGTTTAGAATACTAAATTTGTTCAAAACTTATCTAGGATCTGTTCGACTGTCTATAGTTTCTGTAAATTGTTGAAAATTTTTTCTTGAATAGTTTTTTCGCTACTGGATATCGTCCCTTGTACTCAATCATTCATATTTAATTTCATTTTTGTAGTACCACTTCTTGTAGGTAATTCTACAAAATCTTAGTGCGTTCACCCTCTTCTTCCCACCAACTGCATGGGTTCTTTTTGTTATTATTTCTTCTGCTTTCTTTTCCCTTGGAGTATTAGCATTGATTGCATCATAAATTCGTTTTATGAATTTATCATGTTTAACTTGGACACCAACCAGTCGTATTCCGCTTGTAAAAGAGTTTCCTACTTTACCTTTAGCCGCGTGTTTACTTCGTTCCAGTTGTTAATGTGAATAATTTGAATGTTTTCGTCTGATAGTATTTCCTGGTTACGTTAATTTTTATGGAGAGTGGGAAGTGTTCTGAACCGTCTGGATCATCAGCAATACTGAAGTTAATTTTATCGGCAATATCTAGTCGGGGAAAATCATCTTCATGGGAAAACGTATTGGTATTATGTATATACAGATTATTCTGTTCGACTGCCTTCAATAATTTTCTACAATGTGTATTTGATTTCTGGCAGTTCCAGACCGTGTGATGTGCGTTTTAGTCCCCTGCTAAGAATTGTGCGAATTGATAGTGCCATTACCAATAATTTTCATTCATTCGGTTTCTGAGAATTGGTAGCTCAGGGGCCGATAAAGGGTGATTATCGTTAATTCAGTAATTACGTTGATAAATTTACGGCTATGAATTTCTATCCGTTCATGTGGAGTAAATATGTTACTGACTTCAGTAAAGGCTAGACTTTGTATACAAATATTATTGTACCTCCTCCACTGGAATTCATTATCTCCAGAAATGACAAAAACTGGTGTTTTTGTAAAAAAAAGTCAGCCAAGTAAAAGCTTCGCACAATTGATTCCGTGAAAAACTCGTGTTTTGCCAAAATATGGCATTCCAAGATATTAAAAAAAACTCAGAAAATGTAAATGGAAATGCCAAGAAAAGTGGTAGGAGTCGATAGAAAGGATTCAATAATGAAAATAAAAAAATCAGTAGAGACAGGACCAACTTACTTGGCGCGGTTTTTCCCAAGAACTAGAGCTAGAGCGAAAGATTATCTTCAGTCACTTTTAGTTATTAATCAAATTGCATTTTAGCATTATCCTGTAAATAAAACCGTGCCAAGTAAGTTGGTCCTATCTCTACTGATTTTTTTATTCTCATTATTGAATCCTTTCTATCGACTGTATAACTTTTCTTGGCATTTTCATTTACATTTTCTGAGTTTCTTTAATATCTTGGAATGCCATATTTTGGCAAAGCACGAGTTTTTCACGGAATCAATTGTGCGAAACTTTTACTTGGCTGAGTTTTTTTTACAAAAACACCAGTTTTTGTCATTTCGGGAGATTTCACGGATTTTTCAAGAACTGCATATAATTTTCATATTTCATTTGCATACAATTTAACATATTCTAGTTAACAATTATAATTATGGAAATAGATAAAAAATATAAAATCCAAGGGAAAAAATAAAACATTCTCCTCTGTTTCCCTTTTGCGATTCAACGGTTTAAATACACTGATGGCAACATCTCAACGCCAAATTTGGCCCAGGTTAGGTTGGATAGACCTGCTGCCAACTTAGTGATTTCAATGTAACCGAAAGATAATAGAAATTGGTAAAATATTGAAATGAGCCCGTTGCCATGGGCGTATTTTTGCCAATATTAATCGAAAAAAGGGAAAACTTATATCGATGAAAAGCTTGAGGGCGATTTGTATAATGTAACTATGCACAGATTTCATGTAACTTGTAGCGTTTGTATTTTATGGATTGAATACGATTAGGAGGTAGTGGAAGGGGTAGTTGGGTCGTGTATAGATACACCGTAGCTCTCGGCCTTATTTGTTGGATAGAGACGAAACTTGGCCGATACGCTACCGCGTATCTCGATATCCTTTCTATAATTTACAAATCCTGGATATGTGTATTGCAGATGCGAGGCATTTTTTGG